CTCTCTCTCTCTCTCTCTCTCTCTCTCTCTCTCTCTCTCTCTCTCTCTCTCTCTCTCTCTCTCACACACACACACACACACACACACACACACACACACAGAGAGAGAGAGAAGTATATAGCATCATATTGTTCATTCACTCATATGTCTGTAGAAGCAATATCATCCAGCCACTTTCAATAACTTATGATCATTTCCAAAGAGAGGTTTATTTGTAGAATTTTTCCAGGATATAATTGTATGCATTGTACATGTAGGTGATCTGATGGGTCCATCCCTAACTGGTCTGGACAGCCTGGTCAAGATGCCCTATGGCTGTGGAGAACAGAACATGGTGGGCTTTGTGCCAAACATTGTGGTAATGCAATACCTGAGCAGCACAAACCAACTCACGCCTGAGATAGAAACCAAAGCCAAGGAATACATGAAAGCTGGTGGGTTGCCTTGATGGATTTTTATGCTTGATTTAGAGTTTTTTTCCTGAGAAATTGGTGCATAGAAGAGGGCACACTTTTCTGGCACTTGGTGATTTTTCTGTTGACCAGTATTTTACAAACAACAGTTAACTCTGTTTATGTGTTATTTGAAGAAGGGTAAAGGAAGTTTTTATTCATTAAAAGAATGTCGTGACAAGAGGATCAATTTAACAGTCTGAATGAAATGGCATTTATTTTACTCTTTGATACCCCATAACTTTTTATTTCAAAACTCCTTTTCATCTTTAATAGGTTACCAAAGAGAACTGAATTACAAGCATGCTGATGGCTCATATAGCGCCTTTGGTAAAAATGATAAGTCAGGCAGCACTTGGTTAACAGCTTTTGTTCTCAAGTCTTTTGCCCAAGCCAGGAAATACATATTCATTGATGAAAAAGAGCTTGAACAGACCATTGGATGGCTCAGACAACAACAAATGAACAATGGCTGTTTCCGTAAAGTTGGAAAGTTGTTTTCGAAGAGCATGGCAGGTGGAGTAGAGAGCAGTACAGACCCCACCACTAGTCTGTCTGCCTATGTTCTCATGGCATTGCTGGAAACTGGCCTGGAGAAAACAGTAAGTTTTCCCTAACCCTTGGACTCATAAGTGGATGAATGTAAATTTTTCTAATATCTAAAATTTTAGTGTTTTAAATTGGCATTTGAATATCTGGATTCAACTAATGANACTAAAAGTGATTTTCCATGATTACTTGTCATATACATGTACATGTACTTTTGACCCTGGATACACATGCACGCACACACACATGTGCATGCACACACACATACACACACACAGAAATACATGGATGTGTTTCAGTGGTTTATTGTTTATGTATTCATATCAGATCTTGTCAAGAGGAAACATCCTTGAAAGTGGACACAAGCGTCACCATTTCAAAATACATGATTACATGGAACCTCTCAATGATGAACCAGTTGGAGAAGACCTTGTAGAGATGGAAGGGGAAATTGCTCCGGGCTTTGAGGGCATGGAAGGAGCTGAGGAACCAGAAGTGCCTGTGGTAGAGGAGGAAATCATACCCGAGATTGCTATTCCATATGGAGATGATATGATGAGTGAGCATATTTTAATTTTCTTGCTGAAGATTACACTGTGTATGAAGAAATACATATAGGACTAATGTAGAATTCATTTTTAGGTCTTCAGAATCTTATATTTGATTACTGTGTCATCTAGTATCAGTCATTAGATTATTTTGTTTTGTTTACTTATATATGAATCATGTGGATAAATATTTTTGCAAGTCTAAATGATAGTAAGTTTTCCTCATCTCTTGATGATCTCTTTTTTCTTGCATAATATTATGTATAGATTTATAATAATAAATATTAAGCTTTTAATTTTTGGGACTTCATTGAAAATTAAAATTTTTAGCTGGCCCACCCATTCCTCCAACTATGTCAGTACCAACCACATCCAAACCCAACCAGCCAAACCAGGTAGAGCTTCCAGGTCATGTTAGTGCTGTACACTTTGAGTTTCCTGTTACTCCCCAGATGTCGCCACTTACCAGGATCCTCATCTATTATGTTAGAGAGGATGGGGAAGTTGTATCTGACAGTACAGAGGTCAAGGTGCAGCATTGCTGGGACAATAAGGTTAGACATTTTTTGGAGAATTTGCAAAGAGAGTATATATGTATTTAAATCTTAGAGAAAAACTAAAAAGATTAAAGAAGAAATGCAGAAAAACACGGTCAAGTGAAATATATGATGTACTAGACCATGAAATAGATTGTGATTTTAATCCAAATTTTGATGAATGTGTTAATCCTGACTTAGATAGATAATTCTAAACTACATTTGAGACATGATTACAGAAATCAAGCAAGAAAAACAGAATTAAAAAATTATAAGTTTCAACTTTTCAAACTCACCATTATGATACAGAAAATGAAAACGTGTAAACTTAAACCTTGTTTTATTCTCATCAGGTGGAGCTTGGGTTCTCAGATGAAGAACGTCTACCAGGAGAAGACACTACCCTGGAGTTGAAGGCCAGCCCTCAGTCCCTGTGTGCTATTGGGGCAGTGGACAAAAGTGTCCATCTTCTCAGGTCTTCTAATCAACTGGACTCAGGCAAGGTATATTGCAGTGGTTAATTTTACCAATTTCTCATTAATAAAGATACAGGTCTGTAGCTAGTAATTACAAAGTCGGAGGGGTCTTTTTCTGAAAAACAAAATGGACTCTTTTAACCCAGTAGTTGACCCTATCTGAGAAATGGCATAGAATCTAGATCTTATTTTGATTCAGGCAATAATTTTCATTCAGGCAATTTGAGGCAATAATTTAGTTTCTGTAAGGCATGCACATGTATGATTAAATCAGGTATAAGTTATCATAAATGATATGGATTGACTCTTATCATTTCAGATTTTTGAATTATTGAAGGGTTATGACATAAATATTAATAACGGAGGTGATGGATCTTCAGACTACTGTGAAAAGAAGAGGCGTTTTGAAGAGAAGGAGTCACCTAGTGAGTGATTTATATTTCATAATACAACTTTAAAAAAAAATACTGATTCATGCATTTCAAAGTTTGTTTTAATCTTATTCTATCTGTAAATTTTACCCATACAGTAATTACATGACTAGGACATTGAATATCTGAAGTCTAGTTTGGATATGTTGATGATTTTCCATCTTTAGTTTATACCCGGGTTTGAAACTTAAGCTGTGCATTGAAATAATTACTTTGTATTAATTACATCAGTCACAGATTGATAGACTCCAGCATTAACTGCTAGGTAATTTTCATAATTTTTTTTCAGGCCGTCTGCTTATGGATGCCCCCAGACCTCCCTCTCCCTTCTGGAGTCTGCCTGGTCCTCCAGGAGAAAGGAGAAAGAGATCAATTGCACCCTGGTTTTTCCCACAATCAGAATATTATGATGCCATCCGGGCTTTTCAGGTACTGTATGCTTTTCCTATTGGGCACATTTTTATGTACAGACACAGATGTGTCTGTACATATTGCCATCACCTGCGTCTGTCGTCACCGATGGCGATGGCGATGCCGGCGCCTTGCACTTTCCTTGTAAACACGAGAAGTGGAGGGCAGTTTTACTTTTTGGCTTTATATTTACAGAGCTGATGAATATTCATAAAACGCAGGTCAAGTTCGAAAATCAGCATGATCGGGCCATTATTGTAGAAGTTATGCTGTTTTTTCACTTTTCAGCATATTTTTCACATTTCCTCAGATTCAGTTCTTAGGCATGTTAACAGTCTCATTATTAAACTAATAAGATANTTATATATATGAATTGTTTGTTCCTGGCAGGTACGCAGAAAGGTCAACATCTGATCAAATTTCAAAGCTCATCAATAAGATTTTATATGTCTACAGATGAGATGTATCTATATTATGAGGATGTGTTATGTTGCGAGTAAGATTGGAAATATTTTGGAATTTATGTATTTATCCATTCATTTACTTTAATTTTTTAGACGGCTGGTATGGTAGTGTTGACAGACCTTACAGTTGAAACCAGACCTTGTTCTTCCTACAGACCATATCCTGCTATTTACTGGAGAGGATTAGGAGGTAAATGTTAAACTGCTTCTCTGACAAATTTATAAGTCTGAGACAAAGTTGGAAATTTAGTCAATTATTGAAACATTTGCGTAAGGATTAGTAATTGTATATGAAAGAGCCACAGTTTGAGTATGGACTTATGATTTAATAATTTTGCATCGTAAGTTATTTTACAAAATTCTTTTGTTCAATAATTTTTTATCATAACAGCTCTTGCTGACCAAAGTAAATATATGTTCGTTTGAGGTATTTGTTGTATTTTTAGTTATTAAAAGTTTGTACTCAGTGCTTCAGTACTGTTATAAATTAAATTTTTTACATAATTTTCATTGAAATTTTGTTTAAGGAACAGACTGGTCCTTTTTCCAGCTATCAGTATAATGAGCATGCCAATACCTCCAATCTTTTTGCACATCTAGAATTTTTTCATATTTTTGTTACATGTAGTTGTCAAGTCTTGAGCATTTTTAATTGATATCTACTTCTTTATAGTTATGATACCCGTGAACAACCACTAGCAGTTATCAGTCATTGTTACTACCACTACTACTAATTGACCCCCTCTCTCCATTTCTCACACACACACACACACACACACACACACACACACACAGTTCTATCTAATTAACTGTGTATACATATTGTTTTACCCTAGGACCTATGCTTGTGGAGGAGGATGCTCCAGTTGCATTCATGCAAGTAGATGTAAATGCACCTACAGGTCAAGACTCTAATAGCAAGGATGAGTCAAGAATTCAGAATACTCCAACTTTGCGAAACTATTTCCCAGAAACCTGGCTATGGGACCTTGAAACTGTTGGGTGAGAAGACACACATATATTCATAAGTTTACACTTTGTAACTTTTTCATTTCCTTTCAGATGCACACAGGATTATTGGTGATGAATCCACAAGGAATGCTTGTTGTCTGCGGAATGATATATTGGGATCTTTTGAAATTGTGCCTATTTTATTTTTAGGCTATTTCAATATTATTTTACTGGTATATTATACCCTATCTAATTGAACTAACTTGCTGTAGGTCCACTGGCAGTACCAAGAGCAAGTGGAATCCGACAGTTTAGTCCACCTGTTGCTCTTCCCATGATTGTTGAAGCTGATGATATTAAAGAACCTACTAAAACTGTAACTAGCACTGTCACATTGAGGAATTACTTTCCTGAAACTTGGCTGTGGGAATTGGAATATGTAGGGTGAGATGTGTGGTACTAAAACTTCTAATGTTTTGTAAGTCCTTTGTTTGTTGCTTTGCTTTGGTTCAGTATGGGCTACCAAGTTAGCAGCTAAAGTGATGAATGAGAGATCGCATGAAGGTGGTGCAGCATATATATATATATATATATATATATATATATATATATATATATATATATATATATATATATATATATATATATATATATTATCAAGCAATGCACACTTTGTGAGCATTATTTTTCAAGTGAAAATATAAGTAATTGCTATGTGTGGCCAGAAGTATATATTTATAAAGTCTTCTGGATGAGTCTTTTGAATGTCTTTTTGATGATGTTATTTTAAAATATCTAATTTAAAATACTATTAACTTGGGTAGAAGATTCAGTTTTGGTGACTGAATCTGCCATTGATTAATATTGAGATTGAAATATACTGTGAACGATAATGAACAGATAAATGTTGATATATTTTGATCTTTTGCATGTTTTCAAGTCCAGAATGTTAAATATCCACAATGGGTATTGATTTTGCAATTGATCTACATGTATACAGTAGTTACTTACCATATACAAACTAAACAGGCAAATCATATTTTCTGAAACATACTGTTGATTAGAAACTGAAATATTGAAAAAAAAACTTTAAAAATATTACAAATCTTGAAAAAATGAAAAGTGGGCAATTTGTATAGTAACATAATTAATTTGGTATCAGGGTATAGTTGAGAAAATGATTATCTAGAAATGTAAACAAGAAGATGCTATACTTACATGATTTCAACTTAAAACCAGACTTTGGTCTTTTTTCCAGGGAATCAGGTAAGCTGGAAAAGAAGCAGACCATGCCCCACACCGTCACTGAATGGGTGGGCAGTGCTTTCTGTACTAACACAGAAACTGGCCTAGGGGTGGCATCACCAGCAACCATCAAGACATTCCAGCCATTCTTTGTCTCCTTCAATCTGCCCTATTCTGTTATTCGTAAAGAGAAAGTGCCACTCAAGCTTTCAGTCTTCAACTACTTGGAGGAATGCTTAACTGTATGTATTTTAAAAACAAAAGCATTACATGGAATCTTGTGATTGAGATATTCGATTTATTTGTGCATTATTGTAATTCAAATATATGCATGCAATAAAGTGTGCATAGGTAAAATCAATATTGTACATCAATGTTCAAACATGTTACCCAGCACTATAAGCATTGAAACAGATTGACAGAACCTTGAGTGCGTGCTAGTCATGATAAACTGTGTCATTTACTTTATTTAGATCCAACTCACTTTGAAGAATTCTCCCTCCTTTGTGGTATTTGGGGAAAAAACTGCCAAACTGTGTGTCTGTGGAAACGAAGTGAAGACCCACACTTACAAAATAGTGGCTACCAAGCTGGGGAACATCAACATTACTGTCAAGGTACACATCTTACATTATAGAAAAAAATTGTGCCTGGTTTACAGTGTTACAGTTACTAGTGAATCTAAGACAAAGGTCCTAGTAGAATATGTTTGAAATGCATGCATTGTGTAAGCAAAGCGAGTTATTTTTACATTATTTTTACATTATTTTTATATTGATTGTTATTATTTTGCCTCTTTCTCTCTCTCTCTCTCTCTCTCCACTGATCAATTTTATTCCTATTTTAGTTAATATGCCGTCATTAGCTTGAATCTTGATTTATTCTGTATATCTGGTATATTTAGGCTGTTTCAACAGATGAAGCTGGAGTATGTGGAAATAATGTACAGATGAGTTCTAAGTATATTGATGTGCAGGATGCAGTTGAACGACAATTATTAGTGGAGGTAATGCTCTGTTCATGTATTTCAGCTGAGCAATTAATTAATAAATGAAATGACATTTTTTGAGAAACTTTTATTTACTTTGTTCAAATATTATAAAAAGTTTGCAGATGTATCTGAATAGTGCTCTCCAATTGTACAATGTTCATTGTTGGATTTCAGGCTGAAGGAGCAGAGGAGGAATACACTTACAGCTCATTTTTTTGTCCTAAAGGTAAGAGTTCAGTCATTTGTATATTACACAGTGCATTTTTCCATTTTAAAAAATAACATTACAAAATCTTGTTTTAAATAAATGGTAGACAACAAGTATTGTTTCACACCCATGTGGCTAGCTGATGATTCAGTTAATTCCTTTTGTATCCTAGCCACTGGTCAGTAGTTGCATTGAAAATGGAATATTCTTTTTTCTTCTGAATTGTTAAAGGAACTTATTTTAAATCTCACAGTGAAAGTATTAAAGTGATACCATAATCCCTGTGCTAAAAAAGATGTAATTTTTTTCTTTTCAATTTCTAGATGCACCATTTAGTGATGAAGTTGACCTCACGTTGCCGAAAAACCTGGTTCCTGACTCGGCACGTGCCAGAGTCACATTGACTGGTAAGACTCCTTAATTTTCACCAATGTTTTTAGAGCTAGAGATATTAACTTTTTTGTTAATAAAAGTCCCACAGACCGACAGTCTCACCTATGTTATGTTGTAATACCTTTCCCTTTCTCTCCCTTGCCCCTTCCCTCTCACACACACACACACACACACACACACTCACACACACACACACACACACACACACACACACACACACACGAGAAATATATAGCATCATATTGTCCATTCATCCATATATCTGTAGAAGCAATATCATCCAGCCACTTCCAGTAACTTGTATGATCATTTCCAATAAATTGTACAATGAAAGGTTTAATTGTAGAATTTTTCCAGGATATAATTGTATGTATTGTACATGTAGGTGATCTGATGGGTCCATCCCTGACTGGTCTGGACAGCCTGGTCAAGATGCCCTATGGCTGTGGAGAACAGAACATGGTGGGCTTTGTGCCAAACATTGTGGTAATGCAATACCTGAGCAGTACAAACCAACTCACACATGAGATAGAAACCAAAGCCAAGGAATACATGAAAGCTGGTGAGTTGACTTGATGGATATTTTTGTTTGATATTGTGAATTTTTTTTCATGAGAAAATTGGCATATGGAAGAGAGCAAACATTATGGTCACTTGGTGATTTTTCTGGTGATCTGGAAGAGAGCAAATATTTCGGTCACTTGGTGATTTTTCTGGTGATCAATAGTTTACAAAACAAGAATGGACTATGTTTATATGTTATTTGAAGAAAGGTATAGGAACTTTTTATTCATTAAAAGAATGTCATGACAAAATGGTCAATTTAACAGTCTGAATGAAATGCAATTTATTTTACTCTTTGATACCCCATAACTTTTTATTTCAAAACTCCTTTTCATCTTTAATAGGTTACCAAAGAGAACTGAATTACAAGCACGCTGATGGCTCATATAGCGCCTTTGGTAAAAATGATAAGTCAGGCAGCACTTGGTTAACAGCTTTTGTTCTCAAGTCTTTTGCCCAAGCCAGGAAATACATATTCATTGATGAAAAAGAGCTTGAACAGACCATTGGATGGCTCAGACAACAACAAATGAACAATGGCTGTTTCCGTAAAGTTGGGAAGTTGTTTTCGAAGAGCATGGCAGGTGGAGTAGAGAGCAGTACAGACCCCACCACTAGTCTGTCTGCCTATGTACTCATGGCATTGTTGGAAACTGGCCTGGAGAAAACAGTAAGTTTTCCCTAACCCTTGGACTCATAAGTGGATGAATGTAAATTTTTCTAATATCTAAAATTTTAGTGTTTTAAATTGGCATTTGAATATCTGGATTCAACTAATGGCAATTAAGAGATGGGATGTTTGATGCTAAAGGTTGTGACCATGCTAAAGGTTTACCCTAATGCCTGTACATTCATAATGCAATTAAATTTGTTTTACAGGATCCTTCCATACAGGGTGCCCTCCACTGTTTAGAGAACAGAGATATCACAGATACCTACACAGTGGCCATTATGGCATATGCCTACACATTGTATTATAATGATGATCTAGATAACCCTCTTAGACAGAACTTCATGAAGAAGTTACACTCCAAGAAAATTGAAGAGAGTAAGATAGTGGTCCTCTGTTACTGCAGTGGAATAAATTCAATTGTAATCTTTGATAGTTTGATTTAAAAAAGTTTGACTTTAATTCATGGTATTTGGATTGGTTTAAATTTTTCTTGTGCTGTTACAACTGTTCAGTCCATAATTCATATAAGATATAGAGAATGAATTAATACATTTATAGGTGCATATAACTTAATCAAATTAATCAATAATCAGCTAAAGTCAGCATAGCCAGTAATTATGAGCTGAAGTTTAAATGATGAAGAGAAAAAGGCGGGGAAATAAAACCGTTTTGTTCAAAAATGTTAAAAATACATATACATAATATTACAGGTGGAATGGTCCAATGGAATCGTGAAAAAGCTCCAGCAAAACCCCCGAATGATGATGGCTGGTTCAGCCCCTTCTGGCAAGCCCAGTCAACAGAGGTGGAGATGACTGCCTATGCTCTAATGGCCTATAGTGTGGGAGGACAGACAGACAACATCGGCTTCTCACTCCAGATTGTACGCTGGTTGTCTCAGCAGAGGAATGCTTATGGAGGATTCTCATCCACTCAGGTGTGTATATGCCAGTGTTTTAGATGGGGTGATTCCCATTTTGATATGAAAGGGACACTGTGAAAGAAATTGAAATTTCTAGTGTGTAGACCTTTATTTGTGTAATTTTATTTATTTATTATTGAATTTTATTTTTATTTGCTTTCTTTACCTCTTTTTGTTTCTTTGCTTTTAGGACACAGTAGTAGCAATTCAGGCCTTAGCAGCATATGCCAAATTGACCTATTCACCAGATTCTGTGGTATATGCTGATGTCCAAGGAAATGACTTCAGGAAAATTTTCTTTGTCAATGATGTAAATAGCTTGGTCCAGCAGGACAGTCCAGTGCCATCTCTGCCAAACAAACTGACCATTAATGCCAATGGAACTGGGTGTGCTCTTATGCAGGTATTTTTGGACCTCTGCAGTTTCTTTTTAAGTTTAGTTTAAAAGTTATTGAATAATTCATATGTAATTTGCAATGGAATGTTTCATTTTTGTAAATTAGTAAGATTTGTAAAGTATTCAGATATCAGGGTATGTTTGAATAGTTGATAATTTCAGAATGCTGTCATGCTGCCATAAGGGGTGTATTTTGTTGTAAAAAATGGCCTTTTTTTACAATTGCAGCATGTTTTTGCACTTTGATTATTAATTGATAGAAAATAATCTAGACAGTGATTTTGAGTTTTTCCATTTGTCTTATGAATGAGTCAGTAAATGATTCACAGGAAAGTATGTAATAACAGCAAGTCTTGTGCAAGTTGTTATATTTGCAAACAAAGTGCAAAACTCTAAAGATGGAACTCTGAAAAGGCCCATGGTTTCACATTTTGGCTGTGACATGCATAATTAACACATTTTTTGAACAAGCTATGATTTAAAAAAATCTTTTTCAGGCAAATGTCCGTTATAATGTATATGAAGTGCCAGTCAAAGTGCCTGTCTTTGATCTAGATGTGAATGTAATGAGAAAACCTGGAGCCTGTAAGAGAAGGATTCTCAGTGCTTGTGTGACGTAAGCAATTTTCATCTTTTAATGATTCATAAAAATCTTGAATTTGGGAATTTTATTTTGGTTTGAACTGAGATAGAATTAACCTGAACAAAGACTTTTTCAAAATAATTTTTAAAAGGCCAGTGGTGATAGAATATGTAATATATTTTCTCCATGTTTTCAGATATAATGGCCAAGATGAAGAGTCAAACATGGTAGTAATGGAAGTGAGGATGATATCTGGTTGGATTCCAGATAAAAAGTCTTTGAAAGAAGTATGTTTACCAAGAGCAAAATCATAAAGGATGTAACATCGAGAAATAATACACATTTAATTTCTAAACACTTCTCAGAAAAATTAAGATTTTTAAATTGGCTGACAACCCACACACTTAGCACTGTACAAAAAGAAAAAAAGCCTTAAGGTATTATCTTAATTTTTTTTAAAATTCCAGATGAAGAATCAATTTTCTCACACACTTCTTAAGAGATATGAGGTAGACAAGGATGCTGTAGCCTTCTATTTTGACTATGTAAGTTGACTGCCATGCACTTCTGCACTTGTGTTATATAACAGTTACAAAATAATTTCTTTTCCAATTTAGTTAAATGATATGTACTGTTTAATGGTCTTTTGTGACTCATTATTATTGATGTTGTCCATTCATCTTCTGTGTGTGTCTTTAGTTAAGCAGGGGTGTGAAGCAGTGTGTGAGGTTTCAAGTGGAACAGTACCAGGAGATTGAGAAAACAAAAGTCAGACCAGTTAAAGTATATGACTATTATGAGAAAGGTAAGGTTTAAATTAATAATAATTAATCATATTTTTGTTATCAGATTTTCCTGAGAGTATTTCAAAGAAGATTACATGGCTTTTATATTGCATGGAATCTCATGTTGATCTTTAAGCATAAGAAAGCTTGACAACTATTTCCTCTGATATGTGTACTAGTATTACTGTTATACCCTTTTTTAAAATTTCAGATGAGTCCAAAACTGTGTTTTACAATATCCGTAGAACCTGTGGAACCAAGGAAGACCTGCCAGTATTAACTGTTGAAGAATATGAAAAAGAATCCAAGGAAAATCCATTTGCCCAGCGAAGACTTCCTAATCCTGCTCCACCATTCAGACCAGAAGCTGCAAGACTTTTTAGTCTAGGTATCGGCAGTGTATTTACTTGTACTGGTAGTATCATTGTTTTTAGACATTAGCTCAGTGAAGGATTTTAAAAAAGCTTTAAAAACATACCTTTTTAACAAATTTTATTAAAGAACATTTTATAACTCGGAAATATTAACTGGACATCATTATCTTAACTCTATTAAGTCATAATTTTATTAATTCAATTCATCTTACTGTGTTTTAAGTTTTTAGTTTGTAAAGTCTACAGAACATATTTTATGGATTTTAGACTTTAAATAAATAAATATATTATTATTATTATTATTATTATTATTATTATTATTATTATTACATGCTATTCATTTCTTGAGTATATTCTTTGAAGTATATATGGATTTATGTTTCCACTATTTCCAGTTGAAGATGTCAGGGCAGCAGAATCAAGGGTAGGATCTTTGAATTCCTTGTAGATCACAAACATGTACTCATAAAAATAATAGTGTAATTTAGTTTCTGGAACCATAAATGATGCAAACAATATGATTGTCATGCTGATATGTTGATATTACCTTCAATTGCATAGTTATAATAATAATAATTTGTTCCATGTCATTTCTTTCCCGGTGCCAAGACCAATAAACATGTACAGTATTAAGATGTGTCTCAGTTACAAATACTTTTCTCTTTAAGGTTGACAAGCCAACTTGTCCAGCTTGCAGTATCAGCCAAGCAGTGTCTGTTATGAAAATGTTCTGCAATCATGAAAAAGGTGGGTATGAAGCATTTGTGTGCTTAATTTAAATAGAAGTCCAGGTGTAATACTAATAAATGGAAAGTGCTGATGGTGGTCTCTGTTTTATTTTAAACAGACAATATTAGGGACATCTATGCTATCTTTTAAGTTTTTAATGATAACTAATTTTTCTAATAAAATCTAGTATTTTGAACAAATTAACTGTAAGGTTTAAAATCTGCATTTTTCCCATTGATGTTAAATGATACATGCTAAGTTTGTTTGTGTACTGAAAAAGGTAAACTTTTAAACTTGCGTAAATTTTATGTATTTTGTTTTTTGTTTCTGATAGTTCTACAGCCTATATTTCTTTTTCTCTCTTTTTGCTGTAAAGGTAAAGATAGGGAAAAATCATTGTGTACAGTAATCATTTTAGGTCTTTTAACATTATGATATTTCACAACTATTTGAATTTTAGCTTACAAAATAAGAATCCGTAACAGTGACAAGTACCCATTGAAAATCAAAGCAGATTTGCGTCCAGTGGTGAAGGAAAGACTTGACATCTTTGCAACATACAACATGACTAGATCAGACTGTTACTGTCCATTATTGAAAGAAAGTAAGATTTTTTTTTGTGTAATTTTCATTTTAAAACTTTTTGTGATTACCTCATAAAAGTACAGCATTTAATGTAATTGTTATACTTTTGTGAGCAACATAAATTTAGCAGCTTATGTATGTCATTTCAAGTATATTGTAATAAGCAGTCTGTAAGGGAAATTGTGATTGCATTAAGTGCTAAAGAAACTTTAATTAATTAATTAATTAAATTATTTATTTATAAAACATTATGTGTGAACAAGCAAATATTTATCTGCATTTTAATTCATGTAAGCAAATTAATATTTGTTTCAGAGCATGGTACCAGACTTCTTATTCTGGCTAGTGGAGAACAGTTGTCTAGAGATGGAGAAATCAATGGCCATCTTGTCCTGGATGGACGCTCTGTTGTACTTCATCTTACTCATGATCTGGAGAAGAAACTGTACCGAGCCAAAAAGAGGTTAGACTGCAAGTAATTGTCTCCTGGTCTGTTGCAGTCTTTGAAGACATTTTTTTTAGATTCTCCTCGGTCTAAGTAGAATATTACCACAGTCACAAGGAATACAAGTTGTAGATCATGCACCTTTTATGATTACGTTTCTGCAACAATAATGTAAAGTACAGTATAAAGTACAGAATCACCAATGCCATAAAATGTGAATGAACAAAAAAGATGTTTAAGCATTTATGACAGTTGTAGCAACAAAGTTTGATTATACATCAGACAATCATTATTGTAACTTTGATTTCGATAATATTTTAAAAATGTTTTATATAATGTTGGACTTTAAAATTTAGTTCTATTATAAAAAATTTTTGTATATTTTTATTTTACAGCCAGGTACTTTTTAAAAATGAACTTTAAAATATTGCTTTTTGGTTCTTTTTATGCATTTACTTTGATCTTATAGACTAAGTCCATAATCTGTACTGTTGCAGTTACAGTTGCCAGCATATATTTGTGGAGTGGTGCTTTTAGTGTATAAACTTTTTTATACTTCCAGCAACTGTGTAATTTTGGCTGGCAAGACGTAATGAACTTTTGTGTGAAAGTTTTTTTGCAGTTTTACTGCTAAATAAATAATAAAATGAACTTTTTACATCAAATGGCTTTTTACAGTTTGATTTACAACACGTACCATAGTAGTTAGTATACATATTCTTTTGGTACTAGTGCAAAGAAATGGTGTTTGTACTGGCACTTTTGCTTTGTGATCTGATTGTTAAGGGGTATAATCAAGTTTTACTCACCTTTAATAACATTTGTATTTTGGCCAAGTACAAATGTCAAGATATTACTTTGTTCTAAATACAGGGTTTGTATTTGTGTTAACTAGTTACACCATCTTTGTGGCATCCATTTAATGCAAAGATAAAATTATTGATAAAGGCATTTTCTCTAGGGTGAGACACAAAAGGGCGTATAACAAAATTATTTTATGAATGTCTCATCTTTATGCACATGTAGCAATAAATGGACTTTTTAAAGACCATGCCTAGAACTGACATTAAAATCATGGTTGAAATGAAATGTGTTTATTCTTCCTGATGCAAATGCATATGCAGTACTGGTATATTTTGTTAATGATGAAATTTTATAGTACTTTGAATGTTGTTTCAACACTTTAATTAATGGCTAAAGTTATGAAAAATGGACTAGTCTAGCAAAAAGGCCCTACTGGGATTCGAACCCAGGATCTCCTGTTTACTAGACAGGCGCTTTAACCAACTAAGCCATAGAGCCGCTGATGGTCGCAGGGCACAATTTAAAACTTTTATTCGTGTTTGGTACATACATCGTACCAATGAGTTGGTATTTTTTCATTGGTTTTATTTTGACATTATTTCATACGAAAAGCTACTACATCATTTGTTTATTTATCCTTAATTCGAATTTATTGAGGTCTCAACAGAGCGAAGTGAGGTAAAGTCCTTACTGTGCTCGCATACAATGAGTGCGCATGCTCATAGGTCACAGGGGGGTCATAGAGTAAAAATAGCAAGGTGATTGAGTCCTATCCGTCACATTAAAATTACAATAGCACAGATTAGACGAATTTGCCCAACAAAACAACCAAATGTTAGAAATTAAGCGTTAGAAATTGCTGTATTGTACAAAGCAGACCTTAAACGTTAAACATATACAAGATATCTTTAAAATCTTCCTCCTGCTGACGTAACGGCTCTATGGCTTAGTTGGTTAAAGCGCCTGTCTAGTAAACAGGAGATCCTGGGTTCGAATCCCAGTAGGGCCTTTTTGGCAAACTCGATGTTTTATTTTCGTTTTCATTGCAAAAATAAGGTTTCGTTGCACGTAAAATCATGTTGCATGCGCAGTGCTCCAAACGTACGAAGATTTAAGGAGTGCAATATAAGTAGGGTGAATAACTTTTGGTGCTTCTCATTTCTTTGAAGTGCAAGATATGCCAGTTGGGGTATGAACAGTATAAATTTCTCCAAATTATAAGAGTAAATACATGAAAATGCCATGAATTAATATCACCAAAATAATCAAACACCTCTTGGTTATTCTTAATACCTGTCTCCCATTTTGACACAGATTTGAAAGATAAGCAGGCTGACAACTTGGAAGTCAATGCTCAAAATGATGGTGGAAAAAAAAAAGAAAAAGTAAAACACACTCAAGTTGATGTGTGGGTTAAATTTTTTTAATATCCTTAAATTGCTACAGAATAATGGTAAATAATGGAGGATCTAAGACTGGTCAGTTGTAGAAAAACACTGTCTACCCCAAGAATTTTAGTAAATATGCTGAGCACATTTATTTATAAATTGAATTTGCAGAGTGAATGAAAAATTCTGTCAATTTTGCACATACCTCCGAATTCTTCATGCACAATAAATCAAATGAAGAAATGAAAAGTGGGACCTTAGTATATCTTCACTTTATATCATTTTACAGTAAAAATAAATTATTTTTGACTACACACTCATTTTCTTTAAAAATAACATAAATTAGTTAACATCTTAGAGATTTTTACATAAAAATTATAATCTTAATAAAATATATTGCACATTTCAACTTCAGACATGTCTTATCATTTGTTCATGGCAGTGAGCCGTCTTGCAAGCACATTTCTCAGCTCATCAGACATATTAGCACCTTTCACTTCAGAAGACACAGGGGAAGGACCCGTATTCTGCCTAACAGATGAGCTGCTTTCCTGTGTTGCAATGTGGGTCATTGGTTTCACTTTCAGCTGTACCCCACATTTTGTCTGCAGTTTAGAGGGTAAGTTATATGATTTTGCTGGAGGTGTGGATGGCCTTGATGACTGTGGGGGCGTGGATGACCGCGTGGGTGTGGAGGGCCGTGGGGAAGAAGTAGGCTTAGGAGGTGTAACAGGTCTGAGTGTTGGTGGTGTTGAAGGTCGCACTGGTGGTTTTTTCAAATCTTTAGAGGATTTGTTTTCAACATTTTTACTTGGAATTGTTGGTCTCTTTCGTATATTTGACTTCAAAGATATTCCTTCCGTTCCTGATGTGGTTTGCTTTGTTTTTTTAACACCAATAAGCTGACTTTTCTGGCCACTTCCACTTTCTGTTACTGTGGATGACAGAGGACTTGAAGACCTGGCACGAGATTCATTATTACTTTGACTAGAGACCCTTGAAGAATGTGTCACTGCTGTCACCTCTTTTATGTAAGATTCAGGAGCCCAGCCTTCATTCCCTTCAATGCTGACATACCACCAGCCAGTAGAATGTTTTTGTAATACCTACAATGAATATAAAAAAGGATAAATATTGGAGTATATGACTGAAATCTATACCAAGTCAATGCAAATCTAAATGAATAATTCCAATTTTCAGTTTGATAAAAAATCACATAATTATAAGACATTACAAGACAACATTCTGAAACATTCTGAAACAACATTCTGAAAAGGAACTACAAATAACACTAACATATAGTACATACCTGCACAATAGCATCCTGTTTGAATGAGAGCCCATCTCCTGCACTATCTGTAAAATCTGCTATTGTGACGTACTGCTTTTTAACTGGTGGTAATGTTGGAGGTCTGGCAGGCTTTTTCTTGGCCTAAAATGATATAATCTGATACCTAAAATATATTTTATGATGGCATACCAACTTACCATTAAATATTTTAATAAACTGTCATTGATCTAATTACCAATTAATCAATGTGTTTACTTTATATCATATACTTGGGTAGTTAATGGCCACATTCACAACCAAAGTTGATCCGCAGACTACCGGATTAAATATGGCCAACCCCTTGAAAGCTATTCAGTGTCTATTAGGATTGCAAGTGGGTTGACAGTATTTCATCTGCAGATCAACTTGTTCTGCTGAACACCCCAATGATGTTGTTTCTGTGAAGCTACTTTTATTTACGACAATAGAGACAGGGGCCTAACTGGAGATAAATGGTGGTATGCATAGCCTACAGTTTGCAAAAATCAAATTAAAATTGATGGATATCCAAAAAGTAAGTAATGTGGAAGCTGGCGTGTAAACTGAGGCTTACCTTTATTACAAATGCTCTTCTAGGTGGAGGTTTGAATTTAGCAATAATGTCAGCATTACCATATATGTCCTCCTCAAGATTTGATGCTGTGTATTGTGATTTGAAGTTGGCTGAACTCGTAGGGTTAGTGATAAGGTCACTCACCTGCAACAAAAATCACTGGTACAATAAATTTCATGATTATCTATACTGTTTAACATCATTTACAAGTACACTGTAACAAAAATTGAAAAAAAAAGTAAAACATTTTCATAATAATTAATTAATTTTTTGGTTTCAGAAGGTCAAATTGACCTCAAGCCCCTTTAACAATTTACAGACATACTTCACTCATTCTTCCAATAACCTGGACTGGAGAAATGGGATTGGAACTGACTAGTTTTTTCCTCACAACAGTTGAAACCCTTTTTAGGCATGCAGCAGGACCCCAACCGTCTCTGTTTTTGCACCTGATAGTTAGGAAAATGACGTTGATAAAATATATTAAATACATGCATACCATTCAGGATAAAGTTATTTTATTGATAATTTTACACATTTGTAACACAATCTTGGTAACTGCTTTTTCAACATGTCATGAAACCATGAAAAAGTAATATCATAATTTTACATAATTACAAATACAAACAATATTTATTTTCATATTCCTAATATATGCCAATGTAATCCAGATACACTAAATATCAAATCCAAGTTTACCTTAGTTTCCACCAACCATCTAAACTTTTTTCTGTAACATCCACTATCATTCCTTTCTCTAAATCCAACTCATCTGAGTTTTGTGCTTTGTAGGGTTGAATGACTAGATATTTCTCTGTAGGTGCATGCAAAAAAATAAAACCATACTTCAAGATATAAGGTCAGCATTAATAAGCTGAAAATTTTGCAATTCTGTTCCTTCATTTTTCATCTATTCTTTTCATAATGCATTGTAACAAAAATTGAAGTTTAGATGAAATATGAGAGAAATGTTTGTAATCTTTACCAGTATCTTAATGCAAATAATGTGAACAATGACTATGTATATCCTACTATTTAATGGATAAGAAGCTTTTAGACAAGTTTACTGTCCCTCACATAATGTATTCTACAGTTTTTGGATTTATCATATGCATAGAACAAGAAATTCCATATGCTACTAAATCTTTTTAATAATTGTGACATGTAATTTAGCATATAATATAATCCTTGTTATAAGTTTTTGAAATAATTTTTTTTTGGTCTCAGTTAAATCAATTTAATATTAAACTTGGGTAATTATAAATTTTGTCAACATACCAACTCCTGCTTTCATTTTAACAGTAAGTTCATCTTTCTTGCCATCCACTCTTTCTAGAAATGAAGCAGGCACCCATCCTTGCTCATCATTAACACTCACTAGCCACCAGCCTGAAATTAGTAAACATCATTATAAATACTTGGTCTGTTAATTTTTCAAATGGAACACTAACTGTGACATCTTCTTCTGTTGGCACTGTATGGACATGTAATTTGGTAACAGCAGTATAATGAAGTGATAATACATATTAAATGGTGCACTGAAAATAAAAACACTACAGGAAGTGCTTGTACACTTGTTCAGGCCTTATAAATGGATTGGTGTTTGCTAACTCCAGCCTCAGATTTGTGGGCACAAATGCCCAAATTAACGGCTTTAGACACAAATAAAGTACCCTAAAATCAAATTACTTTTGAATTGGTTTATTCGAGATGCCTTACCACTGCTGTTCTTCTCTATCACCTCGACACAAGCCCCTGCTGTCAGGCTTACTTCATTCCTCTGCTGTTTCTCATAATCTGCTATAGACACATATTGTTCAAGCTGTAATGGCTCAGATATTGCATCCGCTTTTTGATCTTCTTTCTTATCTCTGAAAAATTATCACATTTGATAATTAAACATTTAAACTGATGATAAGTTTTCAAGAATTTTGAAATAGACAGCATATACCTCATCACTATACCTTGCGCTATGCAGTGAATAGTGCCTCACTATTTACTTCATCCTAGAACAATGAACTAAACAAATGAAGAAATACAAGAAACTTACTGTGATACTGGTGCTGTCACATCATCAGGCTTTGTTTCAAAAAAGTTCAAAACTTCTTCTTTTTCTGAGATGTGTTGTGGAAGAAGGATAAGTTTCTGCAATATCAAACACTGTTTAGATGTCTGTCATACACCATGCAGATAAATAGATATAGATGTAAAATTACATAACTTATGACTTTCTGATTTAATGTGAAACTTACTTTACAATATTCATTTATGGCCTTGCATCTTTCTAAGGCGACCTGTCGTATATGACTTCTACCAAACAGAATTTTTCCTGGAAAGAAAAAAAAGTTGTCTTTATCCCAACTTATACAAACAGACAATGGACCCCAATTTTTAAGTTTTCTATACAACTCACACTTAAATCAATCTATAATATTTCCATGCTAGCTCTTTAGATAACAATTTCTTTGTAATCTAATACTTTGGACAAGTAGATCATAGTATATCATATCATGCAATGTACACCCTCCAAATAATAATAATAACAATATTCAAAATAATTCTACAGAAAAGAGTTAAATATTTTGGTCAACACAAAAAAGCAAAAAGCTAATTATTTTAATTTACCAGGTAGAAATGGAATGATCCTGTCAGAAGGGTTGTCTTCTCCACCTTCTTTTGGAAAGTTATTTAGGAGTTTACTCTATAATAATAAAAATAATAACTAATTTTTTTTTTGTTTTATTTCATAAAAAGGGCTAACACATCAAGATAGTTAAATGCATGTACTATGGAATTTAATATGAAATGTCCAATGACTCACATCACTAAAATGTTCAACTTACCTCTATAGTATGGTTACATTGGTACGTTAGTAAACGTAAGATATATCCCATACATGTACCTGCAGTTTGAAGAACTGGCTATATCTTCTGTAAATGATTCCTACAGACTGATCCGACCAAGTGACTTTTATAATATACACCTAAAACATTTAATCAAATAAATAGTTCAATTATTTTGACCTAGGATAGAAAGTTTTCAATGATCAATCTTGTCAAGCCTTCAAGGTACAAAATATAATTTACGCCTCAATTTAATTTGTTTTAATTTGTACCCGGTACATTTTTTTTTACCAACTTAACAGCTAATGGATTATTCAAAATACTCTACTTTAATGTAAATATAATGACAATGCTACGAGTAATTTAGCTGTAAACCTTGCTAGTAGTAACTTGCATAAATTCTGAATTTTTACAGTAAGTTCATCCACGGTGTAGCTTCACTTACGTAGTATTTACTGGGATATCTTCTCTTTTCGACTTCTTCAACATCAACTTGCACCACTGTCCTTTTACACATATTTCTCTTGGTTTGTGAAAGAAGTATAGCTTGCTAGTGAACACCCACAGGCGACTGAAGTCGTGAACAGGAAACCACCTGACTCACCAACTACAACCTAATTTTTGTTGTGTGTATTCTTTTCTGGGTCACGATATCCCCACGTGATTAATGACGTAAAACCCTATTGTAGAAAGTGGTGGATGTGAAAAGTTGATACAGTGAACGTCCAGGTTTACCGGTAAGATTTTTAGGTAAAATACTGATTGACTAAACTGTAACAATGTTGGAAGGTGGCGTAATTATTGATATGATAGTTTAAGTTTACATTACTATGATATTCGGTACAACAAAAGCTGTCAAAGCCGATCTGAATTTGGGTCGACGGTCTCCACTGAGCAACAACTTGCAAGGCTATGGATCAGTGAGTGGCCAATCGGGTTTTCAGATATATTTAAATCTAAAGGTTTGAATTGAAATAAAGACCTTCGCAGAACCAAGTATACATAAGTAGATTATCTATTTATTATTTATTTATTTATTTATTTATTTATTTTGTTCTTGAACTAACGAAACATTAATGAAGATTTCATTAAAGCAGTCACCAGCTCACCAAGATTGTCAATAACCAAGACAGTTTCTTTTTGATTACTTTTGTTTTAAATAAATTATCATTATAGCTTTTGATAAATGTTATAAGGAAAAAATGTAGTTTTATTTCAGTGTGGTAAATAAATATATTCACTCTAAATATGGAAGCTAGAAGTTGACAATTTGTGTGTCATTTCTTGTCCCTGCCCCCTTTTCACATGTAATTTTGTCAGAAGATATAGGCCAGTAAGCAGCCGTTTCAAAGGGGGTTCCTTCTTCTGAAAAACTGGAGTTTTTTTCTCACTTAGTAGACCCAAGCTTGCTTTGCATAGCACATGTTTTAGTATTAAAGTAAAATAAAATAATTGTTTTCACCACCACAACAGCCGTGGATATACTTGCACATTTGAGGTATAGCTTTTAGCACTTGTAAACCATCTTGTGCGTGATCTTGTAACTAAATGTTACTGTAAATGGCATTATAAGGTAAATTGCCTTGATTCTGTGTTGCTATGGCCATCAATTCCAGTTCAGTAGACAATCTGTTAAAACCACATAATGCTCTGAGATCAATAATTCTTTATTGCCTGGTAACCCACTTCTCTTGATGTAAAAGCAATATCTGTGATTGCAGTAATGAGAAAAGGATATGGTAATGTGACTTAATGATGGAAGGTAGTATGTAATGTGAATATACACATATTTTAGATTAATTATTACACTGATATACTACATGTAGTACTTATCGTGATGATCCATTACTTGTAAGTATTATAGAACATGATTTTTGATGTATTTAGTTGACTAACCTAGCAAATGTTATCTTTAAAATATGATTTATTATTGTATTTTAGGATTTCAAGATGTGGACCTAAGTAATCAAGTAGTTACCACATTTTAAAAACACATTCCAAAGCTCAATCTGTGATAGAAATAAAACACATTCCAATATGGAGATAAACTGGACTAGACAACTGCTGTGTATAGTTACACTTATTTTGCTGGCACAAAGCTCAGAAAGTTCTTCAGAAACAGTGACTCCTGCCAATGTCACAGATACTTACAGTAACCATGCAGACATCAACAGTAATATAACTTGGGCCAGTGTGCCCTCTGGAGCATCATACCCAGCAGAAACCCCTTATGATGATGCTGGGCTGGGGGCACTGTATAGCATGGCCACTGGGTTTATCAACATTGTGGGATCAACTCCACTCCCATATGGTAAGTGTAACATCATTTTAAATCAGGCAAAAGCAAAAGAAATCTAGTAGTAACTGAAATGCCATTTGTTTTCTCCATTGTTTTATTTTTGTTGTAATATGTTTAGTTGCACTGCATGACCTTATTGACTGATGGATAAGTTTTCTGGTAATTTTTAAAGTGATTTGTGGAGGGTAGAGTTAACATTATTATCAGATTAAAAAAAAAATAGAATCACATCTAGGTATGATATTTATATATCATTTCAGCCATATTTGAATATGGCACTGTACTGTATCTATTGAGTAATACACAGGTTATTGAGTTGTCAATGAATATTTCATAGCCAGACTTGAAAATCAATAACAGTTCTATAGATCTTGTTGCCACCTCTGATACAAAGTCTTTAAAGAGAAATAATACAGATTTATGGATTAGCAACCTTTAGATTCCCTATTTAGATGTTTTTATTCGCTTGCATTGTCCTAAATATAAGCCATTTTTTTGTTCTAAGCTCTTTCTACTAACCCTGAAATCCTTACGTGCAAGTTCTGAATGATTTACAAAGATTTCATCCTGGGAAAATGGCAAAACACCAAAATACCAAAAATTTATCAGTATCCTGAAAAGTTTGAAATGAATTCAGACATTGTGTTCGAAGATGGACAACAGTTGTTTAGACTGAAACTTCACATCAAAATTGAAGTATTTCAAAGTATAGCCTCTTAAATGATAGTATAATGCTTTCAAAGAACACAACATCTATTTTAGATTATGTTTATTTGTCTTAATTTGTCTTTTTTTAAAAGACATTAAATTGTTCCAGTTTAATACATAGAAAATGAATAAATTTCATTACTGTTACCATAATTATGAAACAGAATCAAGTTTTGATAATCACCACTCTCATATTAAGCATGGACAAAAAAAGAGTCTTTTACACATATTTTGCTGAGAGACATGCATATACACGTAGAAAATATCCAGTATACTTTTGTGTTGTCTCAGATAGGTCTGACAATAGTGACATTGTTTAAACTTTTTTAATCTGAAAATTATCATTTATTTCTTCAACAGATGCTGTTGCATCCCTCATTAGAGGTGGTGGATTTGAAATAAATTCAGTAAGTAAAATTGTTATTTTTTCTGTCATTTTATTTTATTATTTGTTTGGATTAAAAAAAAAAAAGATTATATGGTCGTTAACAATAGTTAACTATTAAACTGTATTTAAAAGAAAATGTAACAGACTGTATGAAAAAGACGCCTTCTTCTCATTCTAGTTTATATCCTATGGCATTGGCTGGGGAATCTGCATTGGCATAGGGATTTTATTTATTCTGATCATGCCCATTGTTGCTTGTTGCTTCTGCTGTTGCCGATGTTGTGGAAATTGTGGCGGCAAGATGGAGCATAAAGGCCACCATGATGACGATGCCATGTGCCGGAAAGTCACTTACAGCATCCTTCTTTTAGTTTGCACTACATTTATGATGTAAGTAGAATTTTGATTCATGACATTGTCATACACTAACTTATAAAATTACTGTTTTCAGATCTTCTAATTTTTGAAAATGTTTCAATCATTTATAGACATTATAGTATATGTAAACCCGGACTTTTTCACCCTTATGTTTTTCATTGTTTTTTTTACGTTAATTGAGGTTAAAATCATTTTCAAAACCCACATCAAAAATTAAGCATGGCATCGACAACCCAACAAAAATAGATCAAGATAACCTAGGTTATTTGTTTGCTTAGTGTCAAGCCTTCAAACATTTTATGTATAAATAAGATTTAATTTATTTGATTAATTAGTTAAATCATGCCAATGTAGTGCAGTATAAGATATGAGATGAGGAGATTTATCTTCATGTTGGCCCAGGAACTGTGTAGGAAGTAAAGATAACAGCTTAAAAAACTGTGATAAACTTACTTTGATAAAAAACTAGAAAATCTAGAAAATGTGATAATGTCCCACTTATGGAAAAGTAATATGTGAAACAACCTCCCAGACTGTTCTAACGGAACTGCTAGTCAATCATTGTGCCATTGGAAGAATTTCATGATTAAACTGACATTATATTAACAGGAATGCAAGATTTCATGTTATAATGTGGCTAGAATTTGATTCTCTGAAATTGTAAGCTTAATAATTTTAATTATTAAAATGTAAGCAAAGAAAGGAAACATATGATTGCCTTTTCAAATGATCAAAACTTAATAGAATGTCAGTGTTATGCATCACTAGCTGAATATATCCAGAAATAATTAGTATAATAAGATCAAAAATATTTATCCTCTTATGTAACACAGATTTGTACATTGGTTCAGGTAAAGGGATGGCTCATGCAACTTTTGTCAAATTAGATTTGCTTATGTTCCCCTATCTGATAAGAACAATCAATTTTAAGGGCCCTCCACTATTGATTGAATCTATGATTAAATTTCTTATCTGGAAGTGCATAAAAAATCATCTAGTTAGCAATCGAAACTCTTTTCTTCCCTTGTGTGTGGTATGGGGAGGCCCTAAGGTCCAAACAACTTGCCGTTTGAAGATCAAAGCTAAATTGTTGCAGAACCCTTAAATATTCTTCATATAGTGGTCTCTTATCCAACAAAATATGTTAAATCTCAAGTTGTTTGATTGTTTTTCATTTTACATATTTTTGAATTTCAAATATACAGGGTAAGCCTTGTAACAGAAAGTTAATTTTTCTTTTGTGGTAGATCAAGGACAACCATTACAATATTGAAAGATTGGGATATCAATTACAGATAGAAAAATATACTGTACTTGAAGTTGGGACAAATTTACAGGTTTGAACCGAGAAGTAGCAGTTTATTATTAACATAAACCTTTTCTAAGAAGTGTTTACCACACCCCTTTCATATCAAGAGCTGGTAAATAATCCAATTCTCTTTATGTATGATTCAGCATTAAGTGCTTTAACTATTGCCTAGCAAGAAAATCAATAATAGTACTTTACGCAACAATGCTCAATACCTCACTCAGGTGAGCCATTTATTGGTCACAGTGGGGAAGAATGGAAACTGTTTATCCTTGTTTTGTTTGTTGTCAAAGGTAACAGGTATTTGAACCAATAGAGGATTATTTGATTGCAGTATCAGCATACAGGTAGAAAACTGTAAGGCTAGCTGATCTCTTGCTATTTGCTTTGACTAAAATATTGTAGTGTTAGTCCAAGTATTTTCTAAGGGGAATAAATTTCAAGCTCTCATTCCATTTTGTTGACACAAAGCTCTTTTGGGATTAACAAACCCTTGTAGTTGTATGCTTTTAAATTGAAGAGTTTCCTGAAGTGAATGAACTTTCCCAACTTTAATCATGACAATTTGGTTGATCAGTATGCATCATGTGATTACAAACCATATTATCAGATGTTTTATTGATTAAGTTCTAATGTCATTTTCAAGATCATCATTGGGTAAATATTTACAAACAGTATACTTTGAATATAAAATATCACACTTTTTAATGATATTTTGGCAAGGATTGCATGGTATGCAATGACAATGTATAACTTTCAGAGTTATTTCAGCCCAGTAATACAAGTTGGTGTAAAATTGATGGTTTGGATATAAAAATTTCAAGATTTGTCAGGATTATTTCAGCTCTTTTCCTTTATTTACGGGATGTAGACTTTTTTCTTTTTGTATTGTGAAAAACTTAGCAAACATGACCTGGACAAATATAAGCTATTTGAAGTTACTTTGTTTGAACTACGTCAATGCATTGGATGAAACAAGTCACTAGTGGATTGCTATCATATTACACCTGTCTCACATATTATTTTGCACCATTCTTACATGACATCTGAGGGTTTCCCACTTCTCTATTATGGACGATATATAATAGTGGATGCTGCTTAAAATTGCCACATGCAATATAATAGATCATCCAGTTGCCACATACAATAGATCATGCGGTTGCCACATACATAGATAATGTCTGTTGAGATGAGATTTTTCAGGTGAATGCTGTTTTTCTTTTTCCTTTAAATAATCACTGATCCTTACAAGCTGTTACCAGGGATGCCAAGGCACTTAAGGACAAAAAAAAAATGATATTGAAATCTTTTAAAGGTTTTCTGTTATCTATTCTTATTGATTGTCTGTTTTTCTATATTTAAGGATTGCCATCATCTGTGTCTATGTCACCAATGACAAGGTGTCTGCTTCCCTGGGCACTACTGGAACTACCCTAAATGAGACAATGACAACTGTTAATACATATGTTAATAATACAGTGGAGGTAAGAAACTCAAGCATACATGTACCTCCCAAACATATATATAAGGAGATCTATTTCTTCACATTGTTATTTTTGTAAATTCTTACAAAAATGAGAAAATGTAGTAAATAACTTGTTGTAAAATATAGGGATATATTATATACACTTTAATATATTTGTTATTGTGCTTTATGCCAAGCATCAAATTAAGTAAAAACTAATTGTGTTTTATGTATTCAGATGTGAAGGTAGCTCTCAAACTGTCTGTATTTGAAACGCATTTTAATATATCCTGTTTGTTCTCTTTAGCAAATCAACTATGTAGCTATCAAGGACTTCGAGTTTGCAAGAAAGGTTATCGACAGGGACTTGGATAGTAAGTTTTAGAAATTATGTCATATAGTGTCATAGAAATGTTTTGAATGTGAAATCAGTAAATATTGTCAGTAAAGAAACAACATCTAAAACAACAACAATATGATGACATTTAATGTTCTTTTTTATCTTAATTATTTTTTATTGTTGTTGGCTTAATTAATGTGAATAATGTTAATTAGAATTTTTTTAAGTTAAAGGCAAAAATGAAGAAAGAAACGCATAAGAACTGTCAATGTTTACTAAATAGATAATGTGAGTATTAAGAATAGTTTCCATTCAACAGAATTTTCTTATTCCAGATATAGGCGTTCTGGTTGGAGTTCCAGTGCGCACCACTCTGGCCACTACAGGGAACGTGGATAATGCAATCAACAGCATTATTGCCTTGGATGCCAGTAAGTTTTGATGGTCAATTTCCTTATGATCTTTTTTTTTTTTTTTTTTTTTTTTTTGTAAATTTGTAAAAGACATTTGAATCACTACTGTTATAAAATTTGAAGAAGAAAATAATTAAAATTTATTTTATATAGTAAGCAATTACTTTCATGATTGATGAATTCTCCTTTCAGCTATCCAGGATCTGGCCACCAAATTGATCGCTGTGAACACTTCAGTAGCTGTGTTCAAAGAGAAGGGAAATATCCTGATAAGTGAACTCAACAGTACAGCCACGAATATCTCTAATACCATCAGTACATGTGGAGCGCAATGCAGCTCAATAAATCCAAATCAGCTGCAAATGTCTGCAGATCTGAACCAGGTCAGTGGCAAGGCTTTGGTTTAAGTGTCATAGTAAGAGTAATCTTAAAAGCCTGTCTCTTGAAGCCTGACTGGCATGCAATGCCATTTTGATCCAGACTTAAATTCTATGGTTCACATTACATGCTTTTAAATATCTGTTTGTTATAATGAATGGGTTTCAAGAGGTTTAGGACTTATTCTCATAGACCCCATCGGTCTACATAGATCAATCTAACTCTTCAGGAACTCTTGCTGAGTGCAATCAGCTTAACTGAATTACATGCTTCACATTACATGCACTTCACATAACAGAGGCATGTTAATCTGTAAAACTGATTGCATTCAGCAAGATTCCCCATGGAGTTGGATCGCTCTACATATATCGATGATGTCTATGGGAATGAGCCTTTAGAGTTTGATATATAAGGACTTGAAATAGAAAGAGGTAGTTTTCCATATCAGAACAGTGAATACAAACATATCCATAATGCAACACTTTTCCTAATTGTATTTTGTTTCAAAATAATTTTCTTTTTCTAGCTGCCTGATATCTCTAGCCAAGTCAGTCAGATAGATAGTGTCATGTCCAACAATATCACTGCACTGGCATTGGATGTAAGTTGTTTTATTTGTTTGTTTGTTTGTTTCTTTGTTTTGATAAGAATACTTATAGGTTGCTGTTCACTACTCTTGCTAGTTAGTAAAATAAATAATTTTTTAATAAGAAATTATTTTCATAATTGAATAAGGAATTATTTTCATAATCTTTTAAAAAAATATGTTTTTGTGAAATCATGCTCATTTCAAGATACAGTATTCCATGTGTGAAAACATTTCAGGGCAAGAAACAGTTTGATGACATTCCAGAACGAGTGACTAATGAAACTCGGGCCACGGTAACAAGTAAGTCTCTTCATCATTCTTTATGTTGATTATGCTGATAGAAAGAAATAAAATAGCATTTGAAAAATTGTCTATAATCAAAATCATAACATATACATGTGAGCATTTTACTTTGGGATGAATTAATGAGCGGTTATCAAAACACTCTTCAAAGTCATAGAGGTCAGCTGAAAAAAATGTTTAGGCTCCATGATTCCAGAGATTTGATGGTCAAAGCAGCTATGCCTGAAATGTTCCTGCCTGTCCATCAAGGTGCTGTTAAGGGGACTTGTTTGATAGTTTGTTTTTTTTTAATCTGACAAAGCAGTTATTTGGTGGTAAACCATATATCTAGAAATAGTGTTACATAATATTTAAATGTATATGATTTCAGGTATTAAAATCATGCTTAGTAATTTCACCACAACCATCAGCTCATCTCTTAGTGTCATTACTACTATGACTGGCATGGTAAGCTATCATTTTTATTTCTCTAATAATATTATTATTACATATTTGGAAATTTGTTAAAAAGTAATTATTAGTTGACATGGTGTAAGGAGGCTAAGCGCTGATGCAACTGATAATTTAAAAAAAAAAACCCGAGTGAGCTTTTTGGTTATTGTTGCGTCTATTGTTAGAAATCATATTAGAAGGTGTTATTGTTTCTTTGCAGATTTCAAATTTGTCCTCTTCATTGAATCCTGTGTATACAGGCCTGGATCAGGCCAAGCAGTATGACAGTTACAGGTATGTGAACAAACAATATTTTTACCAAAAAAAAAGAAATGGATTGCAAAAGTCTTGAATCCAGTTAATGATAGTTATTTCTTATGTGAGTTCTAAGCAATGCTATATATCTATTACAAATGATTATTTTTAGGAACTACGGAGGCATCGGCTTGTCCTGCCTGTTGTTGCTGATTGTCATTTTCCAGTTCATTGGTTTGGTTATGGGCATATGTGGTCACAAAAAAGTCACCCCAACTGAGCGAAGTGGAGTTTCTAATTGTGGTGGATTGTTCTTAATGGCGTATGTAGTTTTTTGATGTAATTTTTATACAATATTCATGTCACCTTGTTTCTGAAGATAATTAGCGCTATTCTTTAGTTTCACTTGTCAACTTTACTGTTATGTACAAAATCTGATCCTGTATATAAATCATTTAAAAAAGATTTTGATAGTTTTGTGTCTCCTTTCAACTGTCATCGCTTTCAATCCAAAAGGAGAAATGTGTAAGAAGAACATTTTCTAATAGCATTTATTGTAATTAATGGTTTCTGGGTCTCTTTTCCAGAGCTGTTGGCCTTTGTTTTATCTTCTCCGTCTTTTTGATGCTGTTTGTGGTGATCATGTTTCCCATTGGTGGTATCTTGGAGAAAGAAGTGTGCCAACCGCTGACTGATGACCCCACTTATTCATCTCTCGGCAAGGTCGGTTGATATGTGTAGTCTTATTAAGCTTTATAAACATGTGAGGAAAAAACAAAGTTTTTTTTCTAAATTCTGGGACCATTTATAGGACATATCCACTATTTTATTTCTTTGTCTAATTTTATCCAGAAAAATGTCCTTGAAAATAAAATCTAAGCTTTATTCTTAAATTTTCAGATGACACTTTCCTGTGATTTGAGGCTTTCTTTTTTTTTTTTTTTTGCTGAATTCTTAACTAATAATTTATCCATTGAATGATTTTTCAAAATATAGATTAAAAAAACATATTCAGTATTTAAAAAAATGGAGTACTTTTTCACCAGTTTTTAAAGTTGTCAGCGAAGATTTTTCTGAAATCAAGATGTCTTTGAGTGTTTTTTTTTTAATCTCTTGTAGTTGGTTGACAACAGTGACAGTTTGATTAGTACAGTCATGTTTGGTAGCCAGGGTGGCTATGTAATGGGGATTCTGCTTGGTAATACAAGTATTCCATTGACACTTGGAGGAGTATTGACGTAAGTTGATATTTCATTTTGAATTTTCAGTGAGCTTCTGATTTGTCAGACTTTTGGCATATGTCAGACCTTTTTATGAGTTACAGTGTAATTTCTCACTTTGTCAAGTACAAGTAACGTAAGTCTTTATTTTGTTATTTTTGGGATTGAAATAGTGCACATTGAAACTGCACAAACAGTAAAATGTTATAGAAACTGTGAACTACTTTTCAGGGATTGCAAGAATGACATGGCAGCGTACACTGCATTAAAACTGAATAATATGTTTGACATCTCTTCTGTCACAAATTACAGATCAGTAAGTATTAAAATAATAAATAGCACCTTGAAACAGCTTTTCTTTTTTTAAATTATCCTCAGTAAACAATCTGACTTCATGTCTTGTTAGTGAGCAACATAATTATATACATGTAGTTACTGTATTTAAACAGTTACATAACTTAGTCAGGCAAAAGAAGAACAAAAAAGTTATTTGTTTAAATGATGTTAAGCATGAATCTCTACACATATTGATATGTTTTCTGCAACTGATTTATTAATTTTTTTTTAATTAGCAAATTGATATCACTACCCAACTGGATTCCTTGAATGTGGACTTGAGCACTGTGACCATTCTCAGTTCAAACACGGAAACCCAACTGACAGACTTCCACAACTCCCTCGACATAAACTTTCAAGGTTTTCTGGATCAGGTACAACTAATCATTAATATGATCACCTTATCATGAATACTAAGCTAGTAGTTTCAGATAGCATGATCTACTGGGAGTCTTGTAATATTTGGAAAAGACGGGTTTGTAGCACATGGTGACAGACAGTATTTTTTTTTTAATAATGAAATGTGAAGTGAAGCAAAGTTAACTAATCTTAATGGGAATGCTTGATGAAGCCAAAATGCCCAATTGTGTAGACTTCATTTCTTTATGATAATCATCCAAGAGCATAAGAGCAATCAAAATGTGGGGTCTAAATGGACATGTTTAACATGACATTCAAATCGGAGATTATAATCAGATAATTGTATAATTCCAGACCAACCAAAGCACCACTCAAGTGGACCTGAATGCCTTTGCCAATGAGTTGAGGAACTTGTCAGCAAATTTGATGGCTATCAATGCTAGCGCTTTCGGCACTGTTGCGGTATGTATCCTCTGATGACTACCTTAGTCTTAGCAAAAGATTTTATGCTTTTCTGATGAAGCTGCCTTTTTAGTTATATTTGATGTAGAGTATAGGTTATGATCTTGATATTTAACTGGACACATTACTGTGCAAACAGTAGGCTATGTACTTTTTGCATATTGGCTAGCTTATTTATGTGACCAGTAGAAAACAATCTGGCTAAATATGAGCTAGGGTAAGAAGTGTAGTGTAGAAAATACTTACCTGCTTACATTCCACTGACAATAGAAGAATGTTTTCATTAATGTGATGTTAGATGGCATTTTATCATTTAGGGTAATTACTTGAAATTTTCAAATGTATACTCCCTCCATTATTTTACTTTTTCAAGATTTATTATTTTCAGTTACCCACAGAAATGTAATTTATGACAAGAAGCTAACTCACTTTTCAAAAAGTGAGTCAAATATGTGTATACAGTACAACTAACAAAACATTGTTTCAGAGAACATCATTTATTTATTTTGTTCAAATTATTGTACTTCTGTTGGTGTAGGCTGAGCTCAACTACAGTGCAGACAGTTTGGACTCCATCCAATCCACCACCGTGCCTGCAGTGAACAATGCTCAGGTAGGAAACCATTCTATGTATAATTTAATTGATTTTGTTTTTTGCTAAGATCAGTAGAGTTTTGATTTCTTTCCTGACATGATGCATTTTGCAAACACTTAAAAGTCAAACACATGTTTCAAAATGTACTTGACATTAATGAAGTTGTTTCATAGTTACCATAATATCAATAGCAATATAATATTATTAATAATTTATCCAGCTGATGTTAAAATATACATAAGATATTGATTTCTGTGGTGAGCTATTTGAATACATTTAGTTGGGGCGATGTATAAGATGTGGTATGTACAATAAAATTATTAAAATTTTGATCTAGAATAGCTTGATTCAGATTGTCTCCATATTCTTGCTCCATATTTTCCCACAACATAGAATCATCAGTATTTTATGTTATACATTTCTTGAGGCCATCAGTAAATGTCTAGGACAACCTAGTTATTTTTTTTACTTGATTGTCATTGTATTAATTATTTTTCAGACCCAGATCACTACCAACATAGAGAACTTGGCAGCAGCAGCTCCAGTAGCTCAGGTAGCTCAGTTTTTTAGTTGACTGCAGATAGTTTGTCTGACTTAAAGGAAACTCCCACGGTGACATATAATTACGAATGTGTACAGTAATACAGGAACCTAACTGTCAACATTACATAACAAAATACAACAATACATAATTTATTGGGAGTCTTATTACTACATTTGATGTCATCACACTGATAATATTGATTGCTTTGTTCTCCATGCAGACCACAGTGAACAACACCTTGAACAACACCAGGACTGCTCAGACCTACATCCAGACCAATGGATCTGGTGTGGTGGTAGATGTGAGTTTTTGATTTCTGAAATGTGTAAAATTTTATTTCTAAAATGGTGGTGAAAGTAGCATTCATTGCTAAGCTAAATAAAGGGGTGGGGAGAGGAAAGAAAAGGAAAGAGAAAAAAAGGCTTCTTAAAAAGCACAATTATTGTGAATCAGTTCTTGAACCTAGAAGTTAGAAAGGGTTTGAAAATTGGTACCAGGTTTAGATGCTTTTAGAAAATGATCAGGGAATGTATCTGTATTTAATTTTAATTTTTTTTTCAGGAAGCGAAAAACTATGCTAATAGGATTCTAGGTGTTGCAGACCAGTTTGTTGCCAGAGCATTATCGGCCGTAAGTAATAGCCTATGCATCTTAAAGTACCTTTTTCATTTTTTTGTCTTTCATGTTTGTTTTTTATTATTTTTTTTCCTAAGGCAGCTAATGGTGTTTTGAACACTTGAGCAAATGTTAAACTTACAAGCATGTACCGCATGAGCAGAACATAGCCAGATAAATACATTTTTAGAAGTTACATATAAGGTGTGTGGGTGTGTGTGTGTGTGTGTGTGTTGCATTTATTCATGTGGCACCCTAATTTTAGTAATAATTTACATTTTGCAGGTTTCAAATGATGTTGGAAAGTGTAAACCAGTTTACACAATCTTTAATTCCTTCTTCAACACCCTATTCTGTGGAAACGTAGTGGACACATTGGTAAGTTTTTTTTCTTTTTTTTTTTTTGAAGAATTTGAGCTTGTTTTTATTTTCTTTGTTCAGATTATCTTCATAATTTATATTATTTAAAGCATTTTGAAAATAAAGATTATGTTTAATTTTGTTTTTTTAGTGTATTGTGTGAAAATTGTGGTTAAATATACTTGTTGAAAGAAAGCTTATTTCACTGGTTATGAATTATAAGCAGAATTTTTTAAATTGTGTTTTCAGAATGGGTTCTGGTTTACATTGGGCTGGTATGTGTTCTTCATGGTACCAAGTATCATCTTTGGAGTGAAGTTGGCCAAACATTTCCGCAGGATGAACTTTGAAATCACTCATGAAGATCCGTAAGTAATGATCTCTGCCTTTGAGGTTTCGATTAGTATTTGATTTTGTGCCTGACAGATGGAAAAGTAGTTTTTAAATTAGTGTATGCCAGGGGCATTGGGTGGGGGTGTGGGTGGGTGCACTTACATGCATTGAAATTGTGGATCTAGGCTCCCTCTCTCCCCAAAGAAAACAACCAATTAATTCCCAGTTTGAAAACGGAGATCTCCCTCTCCCTCTTCTCAAATACCCCAGACCATGATTTATAACATAAGCAATGGTGTTAAGTCAATTGATTGCAAAGTGCATTGCAGTTGAATATAAGATTCTTATAATCTTATTTTAGAAATCAAAGGCCTGTAACAGCTGTAGGGAAGTATGTACATGCTATTTGCTTGTAAAGAGAATGATCATCTCTCTTGTGTGCAATTGATATTCAGAACTGGTTTCTTGTTTGTTTTCCTGAGGAATTCACTTGTGAAATTTAATTGGTTCATTTCAGTTATATTATTATTATTATTATTATTATTATTATTATTATTTTGGTGTATGTGATGATACATGATTTTTCTTCATCCCCTTCTTGCTTTTGTTAAATTTGAAAGGAAAATTATTGTTTGTGAAAATGCTTCTTGCGTGCTGGTTAAAAGACAGTCTTTGTATTTGAAATATAAAGATGTACTTACATAAGAACATTTATTTTAGTACTCTTTAATTATTGAATTAAAATCAGTGATAAAGGTATTAATAGTATTTTTTTTCTTTTAAGTCGCACTGACAGCCAAGAAAGTATGAACTCGTAAGTATCTGTTATATATGTGTTTTAGTTTTCATTAATTGCAGTCTTTAAGCATATTTTAATCGATATTATTATCGATTGATTGATTGGTTTTTCTTTTTGTATGATAAAATTTAATTCATAGTGAACATTATTGGATTTAAGCAAATTAATTTTGTTTATCTGCTTCTAGGGAGAAGAAGCCAGGCTTTGGAAAGTGAGTATTGGTCATTTTTTCTCTCAGATAATAAATGAGGCATATGATTAAGAAAATGTTATGTTAACAAAAGGAGTGTGGAGGAAAACACTGTAGCATTTATAAATGAATCCACGAAGCCTGGGCCATATAAGCTCATACTCAAAGGAGCAAAGAAATATGTTTCTCTTTATGTATCTCTTAAGAATTCTGAAGAACTACTTGTATTACATTATCTTCTTTGGAATTACATCGTCTATCATCTTGCAGTGATTCTTTTTTCTCTACTTGCAATCTTTTTACAGACGTCTTACTAGTAAAGTGTCCCCTCATAATTTGGTAAGCGTTACATGACAGATAACATGTTTCATTTCTATGCATGCTGTATTTTGTTAGATTTTTGCATGCAAGGGAAAATGGCCAGGAACCAATAAGATTATCATCATCATTATGTGCATGTACCCTATATAGTAAGCTACCCATGGAATGATTTCCAGATGTTAAAACCAACCAACAGCTATAGATGTACAAACCCCTGTGATGTACTACCTATGATCTGTTATATGCATGTCATAGAAGGTTTTGGGTTAGAAAATGACCGATTGCTTAAAACATATTTTGACTCTCTACTTCAGGACTGTTTTACTGGATGAAAGGGACCTCTTCTAACCCTTGCCAGCATGTCTTTCACTTACCTCTAAAGGCCACCTCCAAGTCTGTGCTGTCATCCCAGCCATTCTGGCTCTTTTTCTTTCTTCTTATAAATCAACTTATCTCAAGACTTCAACCTCTGACCTCCTGTCTTACAGAGCAATTTATCATTTAGATGTAGATCTGGTGTGTTTTTTTACCTCATAGATTATTTTTTAGTATTTTTATGTACCATGAAATCTGTGCTATTTAGCATGATGTTTTATGTATTCTGTTTTCATTTAATGATATCTGTCAAGTTTTGTCACATTTTAGTCTTTTTATGAAGCATAATTTTGTTATTATTGTATGCATAAGATGTATTTTTTAAGTCAAATGTAATTTTCTTTCAACCTTATTTTCCACTGCTTAAGTTTGAAAATATTTTGTGTAAAATTTTAGCAAAGATCCAGAATTCTTTTCATTGGGACCTGTAAAGTGAGTTTTTTTAAAGAGAATTATATGTAAACATTGTCCAAGATCATTTGAAAAGCTTTTAACTGAGCACAGTTGTGCATGTAACATTCAGCTATCAAATTTTAGTATTTTGGCTAATTTAATGACACCCATGTACAACCTTGGCCACTGTGGGAAGTTACAACAGGAAATCGTTTTGCCGTGCTCCATTTGCTGTTTTTATTGTACATGGTCAGCATGCTTACTGAAGTTTCTTATGGCTTTATATCATCACGTCTTCTCTAACAAGGCTACATATTACCACTGCCACTAATGATCTTCATCTATCTCTGGTTATTAATTTTTTCAAGCAAGATGTGGACTAAACAGTGCATGGCTGAGGAATAATACCATTATGCATAGCATACATGAACTATTTGCTGCACTGAAACTAAAATAAAGCAGCAAGCATTGATCCTTTGTTCAACTAAATATATACTGATGCATTTACTGAGTATGTTGTGTCATCTGAAGCTGAGAGTAGCAAAAATATACTTGAACCAACATGTTATAATCTGCGGATGCTAATATCAAATGCTTGTAAGATTAAAAAGATTTTGTTGAAGTTACTTATGTATAAATATATAATCATTGCAGTGTTGCACATAATTAGTTTCGTTTGAACAGCATGTGTCTAAAAAAAAAATTAAGGATTTTGCGCTTATAGTAACAATAATAGTAGGTTGCCAAACTGCTTGTAGAAGTTTTTTTTTTAAATTAAATAATTAGATCCAAGTGCGAACCAGAAAAGGGTGGAATGTTTAGCTTGTGCACTCTTTGAAGTGATCATTTACAGGAAATGCTAATGTTACGAGTTTGCACTGTAGAGAATACATGTAAATACTGTTACTTTTGATGAAGTTGTTTCTTCTAGATAGGAGTAATTGTGTGTTCTAAATACATTATTTTAGGCTTCGTTCACATGCAATGTCTATTTTCTAAATTCTATTTTCTATTTTCGGTATGTCTTATGATCACGGTCTGTGCACTGAATATCCCGCGGCGTAATTACTGGCAGCGCGAGCCAGTTACTATAAGTTACTATAAGTAACTGGCTCGCCGCTGCCGGCGGGATATTCAGTGCACAGACCGTGATCATAAGATAGCGCGAATAGAAAATAGAATTTAGAAAATAGACATTGCATGTGAACGAAGCCTTAATCTTAATCTTTGTACAGAATAAGAACATTTTTGTTTATAAAAAATTCCACTGTATATTGGTACTTGCAAGATGCCTTTATGTAAATAATCTGAAAAGTTACACCTTGTTTTTAAAATGATGGGTTTCATTGACTCTAATGATAGCATTATTAATCCCTTTACACCATATATTATATTTTGTTTTGTTTTATTTTTAAATTGTAGAAATGAAGTAGGCATCGCATAATAGATGACAGCGCAGGATGAGCCAGATTGGTGGAGATATTTAAATTTGTCCTTGGGAGACAAAAAGGATTCATTTAATGAGGCTGCTGTTATGATGATATTGGTTTGAGACTGCTTGGATTGAAAAATACTATTATATTGTGTATTACTTTACCGTTTATTTAAATGGAGAGTGGCATTATTGAAAGTTGGTTATATTTTGTCGTTTGTAATAGTTTGCACATGCACTAGTCATTCCCAATTTATTTTGACATTTATTCAATTGTCTCGGCAGTTGATTGCATAACCTGGTTGTAATGTAGCTACAGTATCTGTTACTTGCACAACCTCATTTTTATGTACAGACACCTCATGTCTGTACATATAGCCAGCACCTGCTTCTGTTGTCGCCACTGTTGTCATCACCATCCACTTTCAGAGTTTAGGAGTTGTGTTATTTCAAAAGTATTGCTTAGTGATGAAAAATTTTCAAAAACTAGGAGAGATGCACCCACGATACAATTTAATTTGAATTGGAAGTCATATATTGGCAATCTAAATGTGACCTTGATTTAACTTTTTTGACTATTTTCCACAACGAAGTGTACTTGGCAAATTTTCTGCCAGTTACATCTCCAAAACCGGCAGATACGCAACCCATTTTGTGCATCATTTCTTGCTTTTGGGTCTGTACATTTTGAAGGTTTGGTGCTTGTTATTGTAAATCATTTTGTCGTGTACTTTAAAAACATGGTTTTAGCATAATTTTACCAATTGCTTTAAATGTGTTTTTTTTAAATGTTTTTAATAAGTATCTGTTGCATGAGTTTCAAATATTGCAATGAACTGGAATATAGGATGAAAAAAAACATTTGCTAATGTTAAAAGCTTTTTGCTCAGACTTAGGGTTAGTAAGTTGTCTCATATCAATGCCCATACACAGGAAAACAGTGTTAGTTGACAGTAAAGACTAAGAACATAGCCCATTTTGAATGTATAGTTTAGCAGAACAAGGCCAGTGAGTATAGACATAATGCTTATTGCACCCTAAGCTGCACCTTACTAAGAGCAGATAATCCTAGACACAAGAAAGATGACGTTTTCTCAGCCAGTTGGACTGTTATGAATGTTGAAAATTGATATGAAAGAGGAGGACATTGGCAACTTGCTCCTCTATGAGGTTCAAATGTTGATGTCAAGATACTCCAATGATGACTGTGATGTAGTGAAAAAATTAGACCAGAAGTTATAGTATGCCTTTGATAGTCTGTTGTTGAGCCCTTAGTTGGTGTTCCTAAAGATAAGAAATTAGTTATCATTACAAAAAGTATGAATTACAGATTGGTTAACAGCCTTCAAAAGGTGAAAACCGTCCTTCTGGCTAATATCTCCATGCTTGCAATTATGGTTCAGGGTTATATAGTTTAACATGACATTCATAATAACGTATTGACATCTATTTTTTAAGATTCTTTTTCATGTTTATTCTTTACAATTTATCTCTTTCTTTCATACCATTCCACAAAAAGAGACATGGTTTATACCCTCTCACCTAAGTGACCTTTTCATTTTACTAGTCTGTTCAAGTTTTCATTTGTTGCATTCCGAACTCTGTCCGTCCATTTTTAAAGGAAAGTCTACATTATATTCTACTTTGTACTCTTTTTAAAAATGTTTTCACTTTGTATTGTATTTTTGTATATATATCAACATGATGTGACTTTGGATTGATTATTTGATGACATATCAATGTATTCAGCTTGTAAATATTTGTTCTTATATTTCTCATGAAGTGGCTTTATACTAACAGTATAGTGGGTGTTAATTTTATGTATTATCCAATTTGATAACAAATAAAAGTACACTACGCAAATGCCAAAGCCCAAGAAGTGGTCAGTGAGCCTCTCACATGTGTTCTTAAATGTGTTGCCAGTCATAAACGTTGAGTGTAATTGCAGTGGAATGTCCTAATAAACAGGATATAATTTACCTTGTCTATGCTTATGTTGTACTTATATTCTTTGCAAAACAAACAGATCTACAGTAACTTCAAAATTTATCTGAAGTAATGGATATTTATTTCATGATTTGTGTAGAAACAAAAGATTTAAAAGAGGAAAGGTGAATTCAGAAAAAAGTACTTTAGTGCACTAATATCACAAAAAACTGAAACCATTTCAAATGCATGGTTTAATTTTAGGTTGTGTAAAGTCTTCAAAAATAAAAGGCCAAGTTCACAAAGCTACAAACAAGTTACAAATGGTTTTACCGATTTCACCTACAATGACATATCGTATTCCAGAGGTTTGTCAAACCTTTACTCTGACATTCTTCAGAATTTGGCTTCATCTGAAAAGTATATATTGCATATGCCAATTAATGGGCACAATTATCACAGGTATTAATTCACAGAAATACAAGAATCCTTCCAGATTGGCCTTCTTGAGTATTATAACACACAGCCCAGCAACTCCACTCTACCAGGGGTTTTCATCCAGTTTTGTAACAGCTAACTAAGAAGTGGAGAGTACCCAGCATTAAAGGGCACATTCAGAACAGATGATCTGTCGACTAACTGGTCTGCAGATCAAATATGGCCAACCCCACTTGAAAGCACTGCAGCTCATCACCTAATGGTCTCCCTGCCTACCACATGCACCAGCCCTGCAGAGGCCTAGTAATTAAACCTCAGAGCCAAGATTTAATCCATTTAATGGCGCATGTGGAGGCAGTGAAACCCTCGTGGATTAAGTGCTCTTGCTTTCATGTAGGATCCACCATATTTGGTTAGCGGATCGGTAGATCTGAGGATCATCTGTTCTGAATAGGTTTTTTATCAGTTAAATTAATCCTCTGTCCTGAATGCAGTCTAAGTTGTTAGTAGTCTGGCTCAGAATTTTAAAACACAGCTCAAAAAAGAGAGTGAAGATGTTCTATAACCAGAATGCCTTCTATAACCAGAATCCAAATGGCTAGACTGGGGTACTACCACAGGGAATGTCGCACAAATAAACTAAGTAATGTGGGTATCAGTGTCTATCCTTTTGTGGCTCCAATGAGACCTTCTGCTGTGTTGAAGAGATTAATGGGGCTGTTGCCATCTGTGATAAGAACGCTTTCCAACCCCAGGCCCTGCAGCAATTTGGCCTAGTAAATCAAATGGTGGGTATTACAGAAAGAAAATGACTTCAGATGATGTTTGTGGTACTATAACATGTTTAAAGTGTTTTAAATATTTTTTCAAACAAAAAGAATACATTGAGAGTGAAATCATTTAAACAACAGAGGGTATTTAAATGTACTGTACATCAAAAACATATTATATGACAAGATACATGTTTGCTGGTTATGGACCTTCTTACCTGTGTTTCTGGTCCGGAGTTTGCAATGGCTGCCAAGGTATCTGCTCCTAATGTTGAAACAATGCTGGAAAACTTGGAGATCTGGAGATGATGTAAAAATACCCATTAACAGGCATCCTTATTACAAAGGGTGTACAACAGTTTCCTGAACTTAACTAGAAATGGTTAAACAATAATCAAACTGGCTTCTGTGATAACAAGATACAAAAGCTGTATACCCGCTTCTTCAGTTTTTTTTCAAAATTGCAATGTATCAAAGTTCTGTAAATTAAGTTATTAATAGTGGGAACACAAATCGATTTATTGAGTTCAAGTTTCACAGTTTACTTCAATATCTATAAGATGTCAAGTAAATGTTATGGTTTTCTTAATATCTAAGCCCACTCACTTCAACATTTGTCAGCTCCCGTGCTTTTGAAGTCTCCAGCTCATTCTGGCTTTTTTGGAAAGAGAGTTCAGACGAGCGTAGAATACCCTGTGTGTGCAGCTGAGCATTGTGTTCTATCTGCTCTGCTAAGGCCTTTAACTGTGCAACTGAAAGGTAAATCAATTGCACTATAACCAAACAAATAAAAATCTTACTGAACTTTACCCAGTACCAACAATTGTAATATCTTACCAGTTTAGACTTTAAATTTCTTATAGCCAATTTTCAAAGTTTAAAAGGTTTTGTTCACTGAAGAAGAAATTAAAGTTATCTGGTGTGATGTTTAATCCTTTAAAAACTTTTAACAGAGTTGCATTCAGTATTAATCTCAAAATACTCCATCTATTGTTTTTTTTTAAACCAAACATAATTAAGAGAAAATAATACCTGAAACTAGGAAAAAAAGATTTTCAAATATGAAATTGAAGTGCTAATAGTGGTATAAGAGTTGTCATTATAGAAGCAGCTCAGCTGTGTACCTTCAATCTCACTCTGGGCTTCAATCAATGTCTTCTCTGCCTGAGCCTGGGCCTCTGCCTTGGCCTGTCCTGTGGACTCAACAGCAGCTGCTATGTTGCGCAATTCATACAGCTTTGCTCTTTCGATCTCTGCCTCTCTTTCAGTTTGGAGTTTTTGCCGTTCCAATTGCCCCTTTGCTATCTGCTCTGATCTCATGGCTTCATGAGCTGCTGACCTCTCAATGGACCTTGGTAATAGTAAAATCCCAAAATATGTTGGCATGGACTTCAATACCATTTTTGACAATGTAGCTTTGCAAGCAACTATCAAGACTGAATTTTTATTAGAGAGATGACAAAATTTTCAATGTAACAAAAAACATCTCATCCATCACTTTTTTTCTTACTGAAAAGATGTCACTGCTTGTTAAAATTCCTTCTTAAATTTGATTTTGCATAACTGTAAATACGCTTTCACATGTTAACTTACTTTGTGGCAATTTCAATAGCCATCTGCACTGATTTACTGAGACTGTCCTTCATCTTCACATCCACAGGCTCAATGCTCTGTATGTCCACATTGGTCACCACCTGAAAACAATGGAGTCATATTTTTCTAATTTTTTCTTCTTTTTTTACTACTTCAAATTTATGTAATCAGGTTGCAATTAAATATCGTATCTCTCAATTTGTCTTCTGTCGGTCATGCAGTTTTGTGATTGGTACTGGTTAATGCAAAATATTTTTCTTTAGTTGAAAGTACTGGCATAAACAATTTTTAAAAACCATTTTCACATTAACATCAAAACTGGAAGAAAATGTTATGTATTTATCAATAATTTTGATAATATTTTCAAGTACTAACCATGCTGTTAGATGGAAATACCAGCACTTCATTAACATTTCCTTCTTTGTTGTAACCAAAAACTGCAGTTTTGATTATTTGGGCCGAATGGCGATGAAATTGATCGAATGGGATCTGAGCAACCTGAGCTCTAATTCTGCTTCCTATAAATAAGTGATAGGCATTTTTAAAAAGATCTTAGAGATTAAATATCTAAATCAATTTCACTGATACGCATTGATAGAAAAAATGGTTCAATTCTTTATATCTCTACATTTGAATTTCCCATTACCTTGCCTCTGACTAATATACAGACTTCTATTATATAACTTTAACATTTCATATACTGTAATAGGTATTTATAGATTTATTAGTCACAATTTTCATCTCACCAATCTGACTGCATGCATATCCTATAAAATCAGGCACATTAAATATGGAGGCCTCCGACTTGGGATTTCCCCTTTCAACCTATTAAAATGTAAAGAAAGTTCCATACTGGTATATGTTAATGTCCTACTGATAATCACAGTTGCAACCTTAAATCCTTCATAATTTTTAATTCAAGGATAAAAACTCAACAACAAAAAACATATGAATGCTTCAGAAATACTACCTCCTCGAATTTGGTATACTATCATAAAATATATATATATGTAATTTTGATTCAAAATAAACTCAGCTGTCGCAGCAATTGAACCGATGTCCATACCTGAAAATAGTTGTTGAAGGCAATCTTCACAGACAGACGCGCATGGTCAGATGTCTCCACCTAAACAGGAAATTAAGAGATGATATTTAACTTGGCAATCATTCTACAAAACAATGAAATTATTAGAGCATGCAATATTATTGCATGTTTATGGACAGTTTTGTATGACATGATCAATTCGATGATCACTAAACAGCAATGATTGATTTGACAAAAGAACATGCTAAAGCCAACATCAAAAGTGCTGAGACTGTAAAAAGAGTATCTTTTCAGGATTTTACAAACCTCTAGAATATCTGTTATGAAATCTGGTCCCAGCATCAGACAGAGAGATTGCAGTGCATGTGGTTTCTTAGGTTTACCAGCTGAAATGTAGTTCTTATTACCATTAATACATAGTGCAGCTGATGAATGTAAGAACTATTCATAGCACAGACAATTTTCTGAGATACAATTTTCATGTAGAATGTACTTTTAAGTCTGACTGCTGAACTGTCAAATGTTATTTTAATTAAAATAGACAGTAATTATTAATTACACATGTGCACGCATTTATAACCATGCATAAATACAATGCTTGACTTACCACTCAGACTTAAAACATTAAAATTTTCATGAGGTCCCAGGACAACCAGATCAGGACCAAAAATAACACGAGCAGTCTTCTTCTTGTAATTATAGATCTAATAGAAGAGAAAAAATATTATGGAAGGGTGCCTCACTTAGAGATCCAAGATACACTGTGTAAAAGCTGGCTCCTCAAATTTCCAGGTTAAGAATAAAATCAAATTAAATATATTATCAACTCTTTGTTGCACTTTTTCACTGTAAAGGCAATATTCTTTTCCTACATCATCCTCTTAAAAATTAAAAATATAAATGAGCGTACACACACACAAATACACACAAAAAAATCCAAACTGACCTGCACTGCTGTATTGCCAGGGCATCTGTAAGTAACCACTCTTGTCTTGTCACGACCCTACAGTAGAAATACACAAAATATTAATATCGCAAGATATTACAAGACCAATTTTGAAAATGGAATCTCGTGTAAACGTGTGTGTGTGTGTGTGTGTGTGTGTGAGTGAGAGAGAGACAGAGAGAGAAAGAGAGAGAACCTTTAACATGCTTGGGTCAATGGACTGTTCAAAGTATGCAATTTTCCTGATATCTTCCTTTCCATAACCACCTCCATGTCTGAAAATGCATGTACAATAATATATATTTTATGAATGTGTTTACTTCTTTATTTTAAGACTAATCACCCATGCTAATTTAAACTAAACTTCACAAATGTGCATTCTGCTTGTTCTAAAAACCAGTAGATGCAATGCATGAAGGCCCTGGAAACAGGTCTGAAAATTTGTGAAAATAAGACTTCCTGTTTGAAACACTAAGAAGAGACTGCATTTACTCATTGTAGATTAAATTTTTCAGAAATGAGGACACTCACTTTAGCAGTAACTCAACAGAATCTGTCAACTCCTTGTTCCACAACACTTCATATGCTTTTAACATGTAGGCACATGGTCCCATCACAGAGCGTACCTGAAAAGGTTAACAGAGAATAAAGCATTTCTTGAATCAGATCGTTCACAAAGCTGATTTATGTCTGAGATTTCCCCCCTTCTTTTTTTCAAAGTTTCAAATATAGGTTGAAGAAAGGCTAATATTTAATTTACTTGAATAATCAAGTGTATTGCTGCTTGCTTAATTCATATTTCACTTTTAAAGACCCCAAAAAAATTTAACTTTTTCCTAAGAACAAATTTTAGCAACCAAAAAAATGTTAAACTGTAATAATTCAAAAATTAAATGAGATTTATTGAAATTTAATTGAAATTCTATGAAGTTTCTAATACAAATGAGAGGTCATACGAGATTTCCGTTTTTGCGAGAGCACATGCGCACGACAGTCACTATCTCGNTTCATTTTTTAATATAGACTGAATAGTGGTTTTTTGCACATGCTTTAAATAAGATTTTACATGCTTTAAATATGACTTCAATAGCTTTCTCTGTAATTCTATCTGACTTGACAGTTTTCGTGATACTTTGCATGCCAAAAATTTCATACAGTCTCCTATTGGGTGTGTCACCCCTTTCTGGTGAGAAAAGATGTTGATACTGTTGTTGCTGGCAGTAAAAGAATAGGAATATCTTCTAGTGAATATTTCCTTTAAATTAATTGAGCCATGCTTGCGTCAACCATAAAGGTATCACAACTTAAGCATCTGCCTGATCTTTCCCAGAACTTCTTGATTATCTTGAGCATCAGACTGAAAAGGAGGAATACATTCTCCTAAGATATCAAAAACATTGTTGTATTCAGTACCAGGTTCTGGTTTCCAAGCAGCAAATATTCCTCATTTGCTATTTGATCTTGATCTAATAAAATTTATATGTGGCATAGCTAATATATCTGTCACTTTTTAAATACATAATATTTAGTGACCATTCAGTTGTAATATTCACATTTCTTGATTACTTATATGCCTTTACATTTTATATTCCAGGCAAATAATTAGCAGTAAGCCATATATCATTTTCAATGTAATGATTTTTTTTTCCTCTATTTGTGATACTATTTCATCACAAATTGATCATGAGGATTTCAAAACCTCACGTGTAATATATGCAACTGCAGTAGTATAATCATATCTTTCCTTCGATATTTTGAATTAAGGCATGTAATGCCATTTTATAACAAGCAATTCAAATGCATTAAAATTATCATGACAGAATAAAAATTCTTCAGTAAAGAATCCACCAATTCTCATATTTCTACATTCATCTAACCATGCTAAAGGAGAAGCATTCGATTGAATTTCAATCTGTGCATTGCCATGATTAATTTTACATGTTGCATATAAAAATATTTCTAGACCGCCATTCTAGGTCTACTTCCTTTATCTGTAAAATCCATTACAGCTTCATAATCATCTTTATTTTCTTTTAATGCTTTAATTTTTCCTCTCTCTAGTTCCTATAATGCAACTGTCCATAACAGACTCGTGCAAACATGACATTGATATTTTTCTAATATTTTTGCTGTGTCTCTAATAGATGCTGTCATCTCTTGTTATAAAAACATCAATCTTTTCTTTATGAACTTCTTTCTTTTTTGTTGGCAAGTTGCACAGTCATGTTTTCAGAATTTATTTTCAAATCCCAAAATACAATTTCTTGAGTTGGGATTAATTATAATACAAACTTTTCTTCATGGATCAAAACCCCACAAGTTTTGAAAAACTTGACAGCTTCTTTCACTGCCCAAAGACATTCATTTTCTGAACTATCTAGTATATAAATGTCATCTACGTATGATATCATACTATTCCTTTCCTTTTTAATGTTGCACATAATGGCTTTCATAAGTTTTAAATGCTCCAGAACATCTGAATAGCCACATTTTAGGGCAGAATGTATGATTTATTTCTCCACTCAAATCTGAGAAATTTCTGATGCTCTGTAAATTCTTAGCATATGATATGCATTTCTGAATCTATGCATGCCATGAACTCTTTATGACATATAAATTTAAATTGTCTTCAAAGTATCCATTTCAAACTTATGGTACTTCATAAACCTATTCAAAGGTTAAACATTAATATTATCCATCTTGTGCCATCTTTGAGGCCTAGTATATATATTGTATTGACAAATTTGTCCTCTTCATTATGTGTTTCAACAATGACAACTTATGTAAACATGTTGAAACTTCTGTATCAATAAAATTTTCTTCAGATTCTTTGAATCTTATTTCTTTCAATGGTGTTGTCTGTTTTGGATGTAATCATCCATAAACGTCAATCTTAGACTTATAACAGTCTGTAACACCCAAGCATCAGAAGTTAACAATTCCCACTGGAATATTCTAGTAGCAATGTTATGTTGAAGACATACTTTAAATTTTCCTTCAACACTTCTACATCCAATGATGCTGAACTTTTTGCATCCTATTGCCTGTGAAAAGTCCTAATATGACCTCTATTAGTGCCATTTCTTTTGCACATCCATTGCTCTAAGGAAAAATCTTCCCCTAGCTCACATGATAACTCTGCTTCCTCTGGGAGTCCCAGAATTTGATGGACCAGTGTCTTAGACACTTGATAATTCATTCTATTTCCATGGAACTGATTCTATTTACTATTTCATCCCCACCAAACCTATTGGTACCTGGGATGGAATTTTCACATAAATGTATATGTATAGTTTATCTATGTGAGGTCTTAAAACCTCTTCCCTTCTTGAACAAAGTTTAAAGTTTAAAGTTTGTGCAACTAAATGCTCGAATTGCATTCATAGCATCATAAAATAATTCTTCAAAATCTTCTTCCAGATTTTTAGTATATGAATCTCATTTACTAATGAGTTTGTTTATTTCAAGTGTCAAGGAGGAATCACCCTTTTAACTAAATGTTCACTCTGTGAAACCTTCAATCTTATGATTCAGCATCATGACAGATGCTAGGCCATTTTTCCCTCATTTATTATTATTGGTTTCAAACCTTCACAGTTAGAATGAGTCAATTTTTCATCATTTTCCTGGTAAAATTATTCCTCTAATTTATTTTCATTATTATCATTTATCTTACATGTATCAACTTCATGGGCAGCATCTGCCATATCAACCAGTAATCTGAATTCTGCACTTCACTACTAGTAAATACTGATGTGTCATCAGAGATTTGCTCTTCACTACTAGTAAACACAGACGTGTCGTCAGATATTTTCTACTACTAGTAAACACAGACGTGTCGTCAGAGATTTGGTCTTCACTACTTGTAAACACTTACGTGTCGTCAGAGATTTGCTCTTCACTACTAGTAAACACAGACGTGTCGTCAGAGATTTACTCTTCACTACTAGTAAACACAGACGTGTCGTCAGACATTTACTCTTCTTAATAAACATGAGAAGGATATTCATACCTGATTTTGTTTTTTAAAATCCTCCATTTGCTTCTAAATATTAAGTTTCATATTCTTCAGTGAGCCAGTTATTTATTCTAATGCTGCACTGATTTTCCCACCACAGTCGTGGCATTATCGGTACTCGTTGACGCGCCATTTTCATTTCTCTCATTAACGTTATTCTGCGTCAATGTTTGATTCCGTGTTAGAAAATGTGATGCGTCACCACTTCTTTTGACTTCCCGTCGGAAGATTTTTGTGGCCCTGCGGCATTTTGTAACTTTTGGTCTATTTCCGACCTTATCAGCCATAGTATTCATTGAATTTTGTGCCGCTCTCTGGCCTCACGTGCTGTGCTCGCTCGACAAGAAACCGGAAGTGAAGATATGCGCAAGTGCGCATGTGCTCTCGCATAAAACGGGAATCTCGTATGACCTCATTTGTATAGAAACGAAATAGAATTTATATTTATATAAAAGATAAATACATGGAGATTTACAAAAATACAAAGTTAAAAAAATAATACCAGTAGGTCTGCAGCAATATAATCATCATTAATAACTGACACCATGAGAGCCGTCTGCTGTTCTTTGGTTGGCAGGTCTATGGTTGGATTGTACTTCAGGATCATCTCAAGTCCTGGGTAGCGTTTATATTCCCCGTCCACTGTCATTCCAATCTCATTGCTGTCCACCATGTAGAACATAAGACTTTTGTGGACTGTCATAAGAGAAATATTTGTGTATGTAAATGATCAATCTTAAAATTGTGTTTTCATTTTGAACTATTTTGGACTTTAAGTTGACAAAATGCATCATTTGATGATTTCAATGTAAACACTTGTAATCTTATTGATCTGTCAAAGGACTTAAAGATATTTCAGTATCAAATTACCAATGAAATTTCCACATATGACTGGCAAAAACTTGCACAACTGTTAGCTAGAACATTTTGTCTTTTCCGAGTCAAAAGTATTAAAATGAAAACCATTAAACAAACAAATTAAATTAAATTTACAACTCAAAGGGAACATTCTGTAAAACAGCTAATTTGTCATATAAATTTGTTACATTGCTTACAGTAGTCCAATCAACAAAATATTTGTCAATAAATATATACACCCCATCTTTTCTTAAATATTTGCCACATGTATATTTGATAAAAAATAGGCTCACTTATTGTTATCTTGTCTCCATTCTTTTCCTCAAAACTGTACTCAACTTCACTGTTGAATACATCAATGAGCTTCTTGATGAAAGCTCTGCCAGTTACCCAAATTCCTTCAATAAGTTCTCGAGGATGTTTTTCATCTATTGTGGTATACTGAAACAAAAAATGAAACTCATAATTAATTATTTCTTTAAAAATATGTAAGGCCATTTCAGAACATCCCAAAACATGTTCCAGTAAAATTAAGACCAAAGTCAACATATATATCTAATATTTTAAAATTCTTTGATAAAGTTAACATATTCTAACTACCACCAAACAAAGCCAAAAAATCTGACATCAAAGGAATAAAATACCTGCCAATGCTTAAAATCACCTAATGTTTCATCTATTATCATGCCCAGTCTGCAACTTTAACACTTGTCAGTGAGTTTAGTTCTACCTGGGACAATCAGCAAAATTTTGTAATTTTGTTAAGTTACTGGCCACAGTTACTGTTTTAGGCCATTAAATTTAAGACCCTAAAGGTCAGAAGAACCAGTGGATTAAAAATTAATAAAATAAATGTCCTTGGCACAGATTGTGTATACTTTTACTATTTGTATAAACTTACGGAGGATGACTTGTAGACAAACCCTGCAGCCATTAGGGGAGTGATATTAGCTCCACTACGGACCCTGGCCATGTCTTGAAGCTTGCTGCTTGACTCACCACTCTTCTATAAAAATAAAATATAATAATTAAATGGTGGTATCCAGCACTTCACTACATGCAAAGATCTTTGCTTTAGTTGGTATTTGATACAACAAAATGGTGGCAATATCCTAGTCATAATGTGCTTAATATCGATTACATGAATCAAACTGGAATTTTGGTCCAAGACCTAATGTTGAAGAACAACAATGATGAAATGTACCTTATTTTCAATTTTTTCCATATCCAGCAGGAGGTCCAGGAGCTCCATTCCCACTGGCTTCATGACACAATGCTCAGCAATCATGTGAAGGATGTTCNAGTTTTGTGCCGCTCTCTGGCCTCACGTGCTGTGCTTGCTCGACAAGAAACCGGAAGTGAAGATATGCGCAAGTGCGCATGTGCTCTCGCATAAAACGGGAATCTCGTATGACCTCATTTGTATAGAAACGAAATAGAACTATATACTCAACCTCTCCAGTTTCCTCATTCCTTACATATACACCTTCATTTTTGTTCAGTGGTATGGCTTTCCTACAAAAATGTGATTTTTTTTATTAAGTTCTTTGGTGCAACATTATTTTATTAATGCATTTAAATGTATACTTCACTTTTGCATATGCACTAATAACTTAATTTGGTCTTCATAACACAATTATAATATAAAAGTCATTTTAAAATACAGAGCCAGTTTCAAGAAACAACAAAAGTAAAGTTTAAATTTTCTTTACATTCAGATACAGTACCTTCTGTCCATAACTTCCACATCAATGGGAGGGATGTATTCCATGGGACCATTGATCATCCAGCGGTCACCAGGTTTACGTTTAACTTTGGCTAAGAAAAAAAACGAAAACCAATTACATAGATTTGATATACTATGTGCAAGTTGTTACATGATTAGCCTTCAGCCAAGCTTTTTCTTCACCATTTACTAATATAAAATTCAATTTTAAATGCCTTGATTGTAAAAGCAATAAATAAATAAATAAGTAAATAAGTAAATAAATAAATAAATGAAAACAAGAATGTCAAAACATTAAACATGTAACATGCATATTTGAAATTAAAGCACAAGCTTAAATAAATAAATAAATAAATAAATAAATAACTAAAAATAACAAGAATATTAAAACATTAAACATGTGGCAAGTATTTTTTCTGAAACTAGATAACAATCATCTAAATAATTTTTACAACACATTTATGTATTCCATATATGGACAAATATGCTTTTGAAGTGTATTTGTTTCTGCTTTCATTCATAAAAACTCATCTGAATAACCACTGACACTAACTTTCTGCCACAGTATCCTCAAATTTATCAAGTGCCTTGAGAACAAGAGACTCATCCTCTCCCATGATGTACGACTGTTTGATGACTCCATCCTCCAACCTTTCTCCTGAAATACACAATGTTAGTTATCTGACTTTAAGATGAATATGATTTAAATTTAAATTCTACTTTTTCTTACTTTCTGTGTACTAATGAAACTCATAACATCCAAAATCAAATGTTGTGATAATATATCAGTGTTACAATAATCTGTTAAAAGTTCGTGATGAGAGATTAATCATTTTATAGCCGCAGCTGAAATTCCATTTTAATATCACGATACTTAACTTATTATAATATGATGACACTGCAACTGCAACACATGTGGAAGCCTAGAGAGATAACCACTCTTCCTACATTGTCTCTTGCCCTTTATTATTAAATTTATTGATTAAATTATGCCCAGGTCACCATTTGAACATACCTGGCTTCAGAAAAAATGAGCACACTCCCTTCCTAAGCTCCCTCTTGCCCATCTGATTTCTGCCATGTTTATCCTGGGGATCCAACACTACACAATACTGACCTCTGGACACCACTGTTTTGCTGATGGATGCTTTCACAGTCTGCAATTTGAGTCATGCAATAAGAATTATATAATCCCAACAGTCTCACACAACCCTTTTTAACCTTTAAGATAGGGATGAAAAATCATATATTATGAAATAAGAAGTAAAATGAAATGAGCATGGAAATCATATTATACATATATATTATAATATTCTATAAAATAATAAAATGTATTTTCTTATAAAGTTTCTAAGATCTGTTTGTGGCAATTTATCTTCTCGCAATATAAGAATTCTAAATCAATACGCACCACTCCCACATCTTGTATATAGGATTCTGTGTCTTTGAGTGTTATAAGCCATTCTTCACCAGCAAGTCTGTAATAAAACAAGAGATTAGAAAAATATCATGATTCTAATGATTATGGATTCCTGGGAGTAAAGTGTTATACAAAGATAATGATATTTCTTGAAACAAAAGTATCAATACTGCAACAATAAAATGCTCATCTTTATTCCAGTATGTCTTTCTAGAAGGGAGAACACAATGGAAGACACTAGATGTCTGCTAAATACATTTGAAAGTGAATTAAGACAAGGTATGATAATACACATTGTAATTTAAATCTTATAATTCAACAAAAACACTGTAACTGCAGAACCAAATTTGTTGGACTGTAGTACATGTATACCAGTAGGCTTTGCTTGGCTTTCTTTTGTGTACCAGCACTCTCATTAAGTATTCATGTATTGAGTAAAATTATTAATAATCTTTACCTTTTTGTTCCAATGGAGTCTACTAAGGTTTGATCTGCCTGCAGATGCAAAGCCACATTCTCCGTGAGAACAATGGCATTCCTTAGTTCCACATCCTGGAAAAAAATGCCACAGGAAAGTAACAACTACAGAAAAGTAAAACAAAAAAAAAAAATTAAGTTGTTATAAAGTATGTGGCCATAATACCTTGAGTTGACTCAAAATATGTTAATTCAATAAAAGTAAATTACAAGAATTTATTCAACAAAAAAAAGTTATCTAAACATTATATCAAAATCATTGTTCCAGGTTCCAGTCTCTTCAGCAGGTAAAAATAGATGCATGCTTAAATAGTTTTGTTGTATATAATATAATCATGGGTCAACATAGTGACCTTTCCCTATACATCTTACATGCTTTTTTCAACAAATGTCAATTTCAAGTAAACATATATACATATACAGACCTCTGCATACACATCTGGCAAATATGCCCCTGGTCTTCTAACCAACCATTCTTCTCCTGTAACATGTTCTCTGCAAAATAACAAATGTGAATGATTTCAAAACAAAATTGGTTTATCACTGCAAAAATATTTGAAATGTATTCATAGTTGTGGTAAAATAAGATCACCCAGATAATCACAGAAATACCACCAATTTCATCAATGTAACTGATACTGTGGTTACAATTGTTAAATATTTAGATAACACATGTTATCTTGATCATGTACTAGCATTCTGATAATAACATGATAGCAACCTTGATAAAAAGCAGAACTGAAACATATCATATCCTTGCCAACTTACATTCCATCCTTGTCTGTGAAGCCCTGCTGGGCTCTCAACAATAATGCTTGGTTGTGGCCAATTACAAGGGGTTTGATCATTCCCACTATATCCTAAAAACATGTAAATCAGATTAGAATTCTTATCAATAATTTGGTGTTGTTTTTATAGCACAATAACCAATTCAAAAGTGTGAGTATGAACTTGCATCTCTATATACGATTTGAATTTTAGATTAGTTTGAGGTGGAAGGTGGTGGGATGAAGAGGTAAAGTACACAGTCTCCTAAACAGCTTTAATATTCTATAAAAGGCAACACTTAAGTGCATTCATTGCTAAAAAATTACTGCTTTTTCTTTTAAAGTGTATATAAGCATGTGTCCCAAAGAAAATCATCAGAGATGCCATAATTTTCAGCGATAAGAGTGACATGCAAAACATGCTGAATTTGCCCAAATGTGAAACAGACTGCAATTCAACACAAGTGGAGAGAAAATGAAAAAAAAACATGGATAAATTCTGCCTGGCCATTTTCTTTGCTGCACTGCACTCACTTCTGATCTCACTTCCCTTCAAATCCCACTGAATTCTATGCCAATTTGCAAGACTATGGTATATACTCCTTTGTTGACATCTTTCAACACATTTTCACCACAATAGTCACCCTCTCAAACTAAAACCTTTACAGAGTAAATATCTATCACTTACAGCATTTGGGGTTGGTTTATATGTGAGAGGACCTTCAAGTTGCCACATATCTCCGGCTTTCCTCTCTACACCTCCATCATCAAAGTCCTGTAAAGCTTTGAGTCTTATTGCATGGTTTGCTTTTACCACTGGGAGGGGTTTTATGGCTTGAGAATAATTAGTATCTGATGCTGAAGTGCCAAAACTACGTGCCCCCTGAAGAACTTCACCAGGATAAAGTGGAAATGGCTCCTGAAATAAACAGACAACATGAAAAGGTTGGTAAAACTGTCAATGGGATCATTTTGTCCCTTGAAACTTGATGTAGTTGAAAAGCACGGAAACAAAATCATTATTCAAGTCATAATTTTCCTTTAAAATGCAATAATAACAATTTTTCCAGGATACCAATAAGCATTTAAGAATTTATACTTACACCATGAAACCTGACATCAAAGTATCCCAGCCTCAATTCACACTTTTTTCCATGGACATAATTGCTGAAAAAGTATACAAGCATATTACTGCTTGCAACATTTCACTGCATATATAAGATTGAATCTTAATATTGAACCTTAATATTTTAAAAGTTAAAAGAGTAATAATAAAATTAAAACTAAAAGTATATCATCTTTTTTTCTGAAGTAAATGTGGCTGTTAAAAGTACTGGTATATGTAAATAATAAATTTCTTAATTAAGACATGTACTGAGTAATGTATTTCAGGGAAAAAATACATATAAAGTGCCAATAATATCACTGAAAAGAGGCGACAAAATATCTTTAAGATGCCAGAACATGGTCTTCTTGCAACTAATTGCAACATAAGTAGATAACTTCTCGCCAGCTGTAGTGCATTTATGGTACTCAGTACATGCCTTTCCTAACCATGTTCCAGTAAGTTGTCAATACAGACAACTTTCAGTAGTTTTCACCTCTGACTTACCTATTTTGGCAACATACATATTTTGGCAAGACACATAAAACACATTCACATATGCACAATGCATATTTACCTCATTGGATCCTTAATAATGCAATAATGTGCTGGTGGTACAACAATGCAGGGAAGTGGACCGGCTTGTAATTTTTCATTGGACTGTAACACAACAGTGTTAGGACCCACCTCAAGTTTCGTCACATTAGTATTCTGAAAATACAGACTCAGTAAATAATTTATTTTATTCAATGGTTAAGATATACAGGCACTAGTAACTGACTATGCAGTTTGAACCCCACCCCCACCCCCCACCCACCCACACACAAACCCAAACATAAAATAAATAACAAGTTTTAGATTTTTAACGTTTTTCAAAATTTAGTTATTTTTTAGCTTCTGGATATCAACAAGAAGAAGACATGTTGAAATCAAATCCTAAGTAAAAGCACTACATTCTCTCGCCTTAACCGAAATAATCCACTCATGTACTGTACTAGTAGATGTCACTTAATTTCTCACTTAAAATCTAATAACACGTTATCAATGCTTTGGCAACTTACGAAGTCAATAATATGCACAAAATGATGCGGTGGGAGTCCTATGATATTAGAGCCCATTTTGTTCCTCGCTTACTTTGTCTTAAATCTTGAAGTATTTGAAGAGAAACTGAAATGCAAGCAAAGCAAATTCCGATAAAATACACTGTAAATACCCTGCTTGGCCTTGACCTATTTTATTCAGTTTACAGGTACTTGTGTGAAAAAAATCACACTATCCAACTTGACCTATTATCATCCAAGTTAAGGTTATTTTTTCGCTTTTTCAATATTTATATGAACTTATATTCAATATGAAGATTAGAAGCTGCAGTACCGTTTGCGCGAGACTTCCGGTGATCAGCCGGCAAGTTCGTTTTGGAATACTACAAACAAAAACTGAACTGAAATACAACGACATTTTAAAAGTCCAGGTGAGAAATTCGTATTCAGAGTGATAAAAATTCAGATTATGATTTATTTACTATGTTGGAAAACGCTTAAAGAGCATTTAGAGTGACCGTAAAGAGGCTCATTTGGCCAAGCACGTACTACTTCGTAGCATTTTCATTTGAATCACTGGCAGTCTGAATCTGGTAGTAGCAGTATTGGCTCAGTGGCTGTACTGTCACTGGCAGCGTTGCACTGACTCCAGTAACGCTTCTTAACTTATGCAACTGCTCTTATTTATTCTGGTGGCATACAATATAGAAATAAAGTGTCAACTTATATGTGAAAATAATTAAAGCTCAAATCCTGCATGTTATTGATCATCTTCATTAGATGGATATAAGGTGAAAGATAAATGCGGTCTTATAATTATATTAGGTGATTTTCAAGGATGAGTTTTAACTGACATTTGAGTTTTTCCTTATAGATGTTATATCACTGAATTTTAGTTAATCATTTACGTAGACTTTACATATCGAGTAAAAAAAAAAATCTGATTATAATAACCTTTCAGTCTCGGTGCAGAAAATGATGGCTGGAGAAACACCAAATGAGTTTAAGCTGAACAATCAGCCCACAGATGGGATTTCTGCTGTGAAGTTTGCTCCTAACAGTTCCCAGTTTCTCCTTGTGTCTTCCTGGGACTGTGGTGTGAGATTATATGATGTCATTGCCAACAACTTAAGAATGAAATTCTTTCATTCGTCACCAGTTTTGGACTGTTGTTTTCAGGTGAGTTCTTTTCTTTTGTGTGTTGCTGCATGGATATTTGTTGTGAGTATAACTAGTGTTTAACTTGGTTTGAAACAGGAATTATTAGTACAGTATGTAAATCTGAAAGAAATCTATGTTGATCTCTTGAGAATTATGGTATGACAGTTTAAAAGTTGATCATCACATTTATTTCTGATTTTGAATTCTATTTTTATAGGATGCAGTTCACTCTTATAGTGGTGGATTGGACAATACACTGAAGATGTTTGATTTTAATATGGGAGCAGGTAATGAAATTATTCCTCTGATACTAAGCTATCTGAAATAAGTAGCTGCAAAAATAATGAGTTATCTCACAGAACCAATCCTAATATTACAAATAAAAGAATCTAATAAAACCCAAGTATTTTCACTGGCATTGGAGAAAGACATGTATTCAAGCAATTATATTCATACATTTTAGAAACCCATGTTGGTACCCATGATGCTCCTATCAGAAGTGTGGAGTTTTGTCCTGAGGTCAATGTAGTCATCACTGGAAGCTGGGACTCCACTGTCAAACTGTGGGACCCAAGAACTCCCTGCAGTGCTGGATCATTCTCCCAGCCAGATAAAGTATGGATAGCAATTGTCTATTTATTATTTATTTATTTATGTATAAATATATAAATTAAAATTTTTAAATTAAGTTTTGTCTTCAGGTTATGAGAGTGTGTTCTTCTTGAAACTTACATAAAATCACAGGATTGTTGTTTTTTTTTTACGAAATCACTATTATAGCTGTAAAAGTCCACTCTGTTCTTTTTTATGTTTGATTTAAGCTATTTTTAAATTAAATTCTAAAACCCTGATGTAATTTCTCTATTGGGTTAAATTTGATGTAGGTGTATACAATGAGTGTGTCTGGGGACAGACTGTTGGTGGGTACAGCAGGCAGAAGGGTGTTGGTATGGGACCTGAGGAACATGGGTTATGTCCAGCAGAGGCGAGAGTCCAGTCTCAAATATCAAACCAGATGCATTAGAGCTTTCCCTAACAAACAGGGCTATGTGCTGAGCTCTATTGAAGGTAAATTGAGATAGTAAAACAGGGAAACTGTGTGCGGCAGTCCACATTTAAATTCATGTTTACAAATTTTAACAGTTCTTAGTATGGTAGTTTAATTCCATTTTAATTTTCTTTTTTAAGTTTCTTTTAATTTACTTTTTTAAGTTTCTTCCATCAAAATACATTTCAAATTTGTTACATTTGACTTACAGGCAGAGTTGCTGTGGAATACCTTGATCCCAGCCCTGAAGTCCAGAAAAAGAAATATGCATTTAAATGTCATCGTATCAAGGAGGATGGTATTGAGAAGATCTACCCTGTCAATGCTGTAGCCTTTCACAATGCTTACAATACATTTGCCACTGGTGGCTCTGATGGCTTTGTCAACATCTGGGATGGGTTCAATAAGAAGAGATTATGTCAGTTCCACAGGTGATTTGATGTGCATTTCTGTTTTTTCATACTTCTTAATGCTCCAACAGCTGTTTTGTAAGGTAAAGGATATGGTGCCAAAATTTTGGTATACCTGAAGTTTTTTTCCCTGGTAATAACTTTTTGTTTTAAATGAGCAGATTCATTCTGATGTTATGAATTTAATCCACCATTAACCCAGATTTTGGTATCTTTGGAAAAACTTAAACAGAAAATTAACACAGGAATGTTTTGTAGGATAAATGAGATTAAAATTTGAGGTATGTTATTACTTTTCAGGTACCCAAGCAGCATAGCATCCCTGGCATTCAGTCACGATGGCACAGTGTTAGCCATAGCTTCTTCTTACATGTATGAGCAGGATGAAATTGAAAATATTCCAGAAGATTCTGTATTTATACGGAATGTAACTGATCAAGAAACCAAGCCTAAATAAACAGTGCAGCATGTAACTGATCAAATTACCAGACTTAAGCAAATAATTAAGGAGATACGTACTTGCATGTTGACTGAATATGGTTGCATATGATATGCATTGTGTGATTGTGAATGTAAGACTAAGAACATGAAAAATGATCTGTTTTTTTATTAATTTTTTACTAATAGGGCATGACATATACCCATTTTAAAACTAAATGTTTAGCACTTAAAATATTGACAAAAAATATCAATAATGTATAATAAAAGTTTATTTCAAATTTTATCAGAAATTTGTAGTTACGACACAAGATCAGATATAGGGATAAGCATTGCCCTGTACAACATCTCAATGATTTGAAGACTTTACTTTGGTCTAACTTCATCACCTTTCTCAGAAAGAATGTTTTCCTATTGTTCAGGATGGTCCCATCAATTTTTTTTCTTTTTTGGGCCTTATTTAGATTAATATTTAACATTTTAAATTCTTAATTATTTAATCACAACTTCAAAAATTAAAAAAAAAACATTGAACTTGGGCACCTTCTCTATAAGCTTGTTGATGGTTCACTATTGACAATGTAGATTTTTAAAAGATGTCAACTTTTGTTGTTAAAGGGATAATAACTCTTCATTTTGGCCAAAAAATTAATTTTCCTGGAGTAAACAACAATTTTTCCATACTTCCCAATGGTCAATGAATCCATTTTTACATTCAAAATTAGTCCCTGGGTTTTTTTTTTTTTTTTTTCTTAAAAGTTTGGTTTTTTGTTAAAATCTCTTAAGAGATTATAACCAAGTACAGCCATCAATGGAGGTCACGTGGTCTAAAGACAAGCTCAGATATCAGAATAATAGCTATAACTGCTGTTCTTGTGGTAAAACAGAATATATTATATTTCTATGAGTTATTCACAATGTTTTTATTGTGAAATATAGATATCATACGAAGAGTTATTATCCCTTTAAGGAATAATACACTTACCAAGAAGTAATGGATTTTCTCCACCTGTAACCCCGGAGAAATAATGTTCTCATTCATCCTGTCACACCTCAAAAACTATTAGATTCTGCCTGTGCCACCCCAAGGCAATGTGGTTGCACTACTTGCATTCTCATTCTAAGATGTAACACAAAGATGAGATTTTAAAAGATAAGTAATTATTTTGCTCATAAGGAATGACCCGTAGCCAAAAATAAAGAAATGCATGAATACTCACAAAAATAATGATTTGACTAAAAGATTGATTGACATTACTTGTTGCCGTGACCGTACCGTTAAAAANCTTCATTTTGGCCAAAAAATTAATTTTCCTGGAGTAAACAACAATTTTTCCATACTTCCCAATGGTCAATGAATCCATTTTTACATTCAAAATTAGTCCCTGGGTTTGTTTTTTTTTTTTTTTTTTTCTTAAAAGTTTGGTTTTTTGTTAAAATCTCTTAAGAGATTATAACCAAGTACAGCCATCAATGGAGGTCACGTGATCTGAAGACAAGCTCAGATATTAGAATAATGGCTGTAACTGCCATTTTTGTGGTAAAACAATATATTATATTTCTACGAGTTGTTTACAATGTTTTTATTGTGAAATATAGATATCATACGAAGAGTTATTATCCCTTTAAGGAATAATACACTTACCAAGAAGTAATGGATTTTCTCCACCTGTAACCCCGGAGAAATAATGTTCTCATTCATCCTGTCACACCTCAAAAACTATTAGATTCTGCCTGTGCCACCCCAAGGCAATGTGGTTGCACTACTTGCATTCTCATTCTAAGATGTAACACAAAGATGAGATTTTAAAAGATAAGTAATTATTTTGCTCATAAGGAATGACCCGTAGCCAAAAATAAAGAAATGCATGAATACTCACAAAAATAATGATTTGACTAAAAGATTGATTGGCATTACTCTTCACAGTTGGTTTAATTATTTTAATGAAACATCAAGAGTGCATGATGGTAGATAACATTCAATAAGCCTTGCTCCAACCAATCCATTTCAGTGCAGTGGTCATATAAAAGGAAATAATCCTTAACAAATTGTCATTCAATAAAACTGGCATAAAAAAAGCTAACAAATGATATTTTTATGAAAATACATTTTACACATATATGCTGTATAATGAAAGCAAAGTTGAATTTCAATTTATCAAAAATCGCAACTTTGAAATTGTCATCAACTTGGATTGCATTCCACATCCCCATCTTTTGCTGCTTTCATCTTTTTGAATTCTTCTTGTAATATTTTTTCCTGTGCAAGAATTTCTTTGGGTTTTTCATACTGAAATGTAATATATTATACAGATGAAATTAAAGAAGTGGAACAAAACTGCATTTTCCATAATGAAAATGGTTTGTGTAACTTTCCAATCATATCCTTAATGGAGCACGAATTGCTAATAATATAAGAGGTCAATATGTATTTGATACTACACAAGCTCACTTACATTAAGTATTAGAGTATTGTTGGCATATGCCACACTTAGACTGCTCTGGCTTAATGGAAGAGCTGCCCTGTCCATATCTGGGATGGTAAATTTTTTATAGTATCTGAAAATAAATCATAATGTTCCTCAATACAAATTAAAGTTTCCATACAAATTATCATCTATATAAATGACAGATAAAGGAATGAAATTTTTTCAACTATTGGCAGATTTTTGACTTTTAGGGAGCCAAATATATCAATGGCCCAGGCTGTCCCTGGACCCCATGCTATATTTTCCAACTTTTTCACTAAGTGGCACTTTCCAGGGGCAGATCCAGAGATATTTTCTGACAGTCTTCCAAATTATCTTTGCTGATCCATCCTCAATCTTTGACTGTCTTCTGACAGAAAAAATAGATGCCCGTCAATGTAAACTTAAAAATTGGACCGTCTTGCAGAAGACCCAGACAAGGGCCTCAATCCACCCCCACTTTCATCCCTGCATATAAAATCTTATTGCTTATTCTGTACATTTTAAAATTACATATTCTGAATGGGATTGTTTAAGAAGTCAAATTAAACTGAATCACTTTCCAAGTCTTAGCAGTGCTTGCAATTTCCAAAAATCCTTCATAACTTTACTGTGTAATATTCAATCCATTTATAGTTTACATTTTTACTTGTTTTTGCAAGTCAATAACTTGTGTGTATCTGCCAATTTAAATTAAAAATAGAAAAGAATAAGGACAAATTTATTATTATTATTATTGCCATATTCTTACTTTTTATTTGTAGTCCTGATGATGACACATCTATTTTCAGCATCCACCCTAACATCATATGTCTCTATGGGATAAGGGAGATTTCGTATTCTCCACTGAAATGCCTTTTTGGTATCTGTTCTCACAAATATGGGCTAAGAAAAATTTTAAAAATTTATGGTATGAGGTCATAATCATAGGTAAGGCTAAAGCTAGCAATAAAATTTTTACTAAATGGTAGAAACAATTTACTCTAGCTTAAAGGGATAATAACTCTTCGTTTCTGCCAAAAAATGAATTTTCCTGGAGTAAACAACAATTTTCCCATACTTCCCAATGGTTAATGAATCCATTTTTATATTCAAAGTTAGTCCCTGGTTTTTTTCTAAAAAGTTTGGTTTTTTGTTAAAATCTCTTAAGAGATTTTAACAGAGTATAGCCATCAATGGAGGTCACGTGGTCTAAAGACAAGCTCAGATATCAGAATAATAGCTATAACTGCTGTTCTTGTGGTAAAACAGAATATATTATATTTCTATGAGTTATTCACAATGTTTTTATTGTGAAATATAGATCTCATACGAAGAGTTATTATCCCTTTAAGAAAATATACTCAAAAACAAATTATCACTGTTCTTACACAAAAAAATTGATACAACTAAAACATTCGAGGAATTAGGGAAAACATGCTTCATTTAGCCTAGATAAGAGCAAATCCATATACTTACACAAGTATTAAATCATTAGGTTAACCAGGTTATTTAATATTTAACATGCATGGTGCAGAAAATACAGCAAACTGTCAGTTACAAGGAAAAACATTTCTTTCATCTTAGACCTTATACTATCATATCTCCCTATAAAGTTAAAGGTGATGTGAAATGGGGCTTACATTGCTTGTGCTCTCCATAAGACCTTCAGCATCAAGGTTTCTAGGTGCCAGCTGCTCTCCAACTTCAAAGTCCCACTTTCCTTGACTCCCTAATGTGGATTTCTTTCTCCATTTCCTGACTTGAAAATATAATTTTAAAGTCTGTGAAAATTCTTTTGAAATTATTTTCAAAAAATATTTTTAAGATGACTATAAAACCAAATTCTCGCAGCTGTGGCACTGCCACAATCTATGTTTATGGAACCTTGGGGCTGGAGGGTCCATACATTTATGTATTAATATTAACATCATTTTTGATAAACTATTTCATTGTCAAAATTTGTTTCAAATGGTAATTAAAAGGAAAACACTACAGTGATTACCAACAAGTTCATTGTTCCTAGTGTCATATTCCTCTGCAAGCTCTGTGCCATCTTTCAGTGTAAAGTGAATTTTTCTTCGACCTTGAAAAAAAGAAAATATCATAAGTATCACACTGTAATCTGATAGAATATCAGGCAAACTTGCTTGATTATTAATTTTCATGTGAAAAATACTTAAATCTTCATGCTATTTAGTAATTGTTAAAGGGCAACAGATATTATTTATGAAACAAAACCCTACAGCACAAACATTTACATATACAAAAAAATGTAACGTCAGTGCCACTGACATTGTGATTGCAACGCTCAAACAAAACAGTTGGGGTGGGACAAATATTGACAAAAAGTTATGTAGTTCCCGTCTGAGGTACCATGTTTTCCCTAAAATACTCTGTCCACCTACAATTGACTCAAAGATTCCAATTTGAATTTTCAATGAAAGAATTGCTCCAGTACTTTGTGCGAAAATTATGTACAGTAGGCATACAAACAACACTGAATATTCTAAATTCATTGAATGGACTGATAAATGAAGATTATATCATGATGTAGACTCAATAAACATGGGTTTTAAGGCATACCGTCTTGAATTATACTCGTTTTCTCTGCTTCCCTCAAAGTTTCAACCCATTTGGAAGCCATGTTGTTTATCGTATCCTCGCACATTCATATCTCCAAATGCAGAAAAGTATCAAGACAAATGCCGACGAAAAGATTACTGATTAACATTTAGGTTATGAACCACTTCTGAAAAAGCCCCCCCCCCCCTCCATTTTAATATTTAGTTCTTAGAAATATTTTCAATGCTTCAGCAAGTGAAACGCATCAGGTGTTTTTTTATGAACAATTCTAACTTCACTATGAGGTGCTGCCATCGCGCGGTTGAGACAAACACCAAAGCAGAGATTGGGGTCATACATCCACTTCTGTCAACAAGAAAGTAACTATGGCATGCAAACAAAGACAACAATTTCTGAAATTTTTCACACACTTAAAAAAAAAGAACATTGATTTTTTTTTTTTTATTTTGACAGAAGTGATGTATATACATGTATGATAAATTTAAACTTTAGTTGTGAGTTTTGTCCAATTTAAGCTCATATGTTGTTTTACATCAAATTATGTATAATGCCGAGAAAGTTGATATTTTTGAAAAATTCAATACAAAACAGTTTCAAGGATAGGTTACCTTAACAAAACGTGCCCATCTTAACATTTTCAACTAAAAAAGTGGGACAAAGCTGATGTAACGTCACTAACGCGAGTACTTTTGAGTACTTTTTTTTTAATTAAAATTGTAACGGTGCAGATATTTTTTTGTATTATTTTTTCTTTTTTTTTTTCAATTATTTTAAAGAACAATTAACTTGTTATATTCAATTAAGTTTTTACAATATTTGAGCACTGCAACAAAATCCTGTAGTCTTTACAAAACCAACCATACCATAGAAAACTTTTTTTTTTTTTGCATTTTTCCAAGTCAATTCTTCAACTACTCTTCAAACCATGAGATTTTATTTCTGATTCTTTGTAAATTTCAATAATAAAGATTAAAGCAATAAAATGCTCAACCTTGTTCACAGTGCACATTAAGACAATGGAATACTAAATGTAACTTACTTAATGGTTCTTTTATTTGTGTCAAGTAACAACCACATAACAAAGACAAATAATTATGAGAGAGGTTACAATAGGCACAGGTTTAATTTTAAGCCACATCATCTAAGGCAGTTAATATCCCATGACCAAACTATCTGCACTTAAAAAAATCCTCAGCACATCAGGACTTTTGTTCCCATTGCCATATCTTAACATCTCCATCATCACTACAAGATGCTAAAAGTGCTGGAATTTTTGGATTCCATGAAATACTGTTCACATCCTGACTGTGGGCTTTGTTTACTGTCACTGCTAAATTGAAACTTGGCTGGTGTTTATCTGAATTTGGCTCCTCCTGAAACACCCGTATTGCATCATCCCCACATGCTGTGGCTACCAGACCTGTTTGATGGCACCTGGGAAAAAAAAAAAGAATAGCATCTTTTTATTTTCTAAATAAAGAAAAACTCGTAGTGAAGATTCTTCCCTTGTCTCATTAATTTTTTGCTTCCAATGCATAGTACTTGTGTAGACTTCGATACATTCATCTATCCAGGTGAACAACCCTATGAGTTCATTTAACCCTTAATTTCTCTGGTCTCTGACAGGTTTTAAATATATATGTCCAGAGAAATTGAAGGTAAATATTAACACAAGAATGGATTATCCTGGTAGTTTTCAGACCTACAAATTTTGTAAAATTGTTGATCTGAGTAGGAAACTTCTGAACTTACCAACAGACATCATAAATGGTCCTGCTGTGATATCCTGACAATGTGCACACACACTTCCACTTGGGATCTGATCCAGATGTAGCAACACCTGGAATACAGTATAATATTTTGAAAAATGAAAAAAATATTGACATAAATATATTACTCACAGTGTTATTTTCTAGATGACTGAAAGTTGAATTTTTTAACATAAATTCATCATTTTTCTTTATTTTCTAAATAGAGATGTTCACAAAGACCCACAATTTCAGCAGCTTCTCAGCTGAATAAAAAGATGCAATAAAAGAAGCAAACCGCAGTTTAAACTCTACTACATTTCTGGTCAACTTAAAATGAGAGATGTAGCAAAGTATTCAAAATATACAAAGAATTTTATAACCCAGATCAAAATTCCCTTTAAATAGATTCAATAAAAATAGGCATCGTAACAGAAACTAAAAATCTGTATGTACAATAACCTTGAGGGTTGTCTGGCAAATATTCCTGCCAAAACTTGACAGTTTTATCATCACTACAGGACACCAATCTCTCTCCTGTTTTGTCAAAGCTCAGGCTCCAAACTGTAGAATCATGGGAATCTATTTAAAAGAATGAATTGTATATATTTTAACTCCATCTCCAATATGATTACACTAATTGACCAATTTAATTTTCTATAAAAACCTAAATGTAATTGGTGAATCTAATTAAGCCTTTTACAGAGTGTAAAATTTTCGACCTGTATTCAATAAAATCATGACTTATATAATACAATGTCACATAAACAGTTTGGATGTACATGTTACTGGAGACAGGGGATACCTAAAGTGTCAAAGCAAGTCCAGTCATCCTCTTCTTCCTTGAAAAATTTAATGGTGTCATCATAACTAGCAGAGGCTAGAATATCCTTGTGTGGATGCCAAGTGACAAACTTCACATCCTGGGAGTGAGCACTCAGGACACTTGCACATTCAAATTCTTCATCATCATCAACTGGAAGGAAAAAAACTGTATTTGAAAACCAAACACAAAGTTTTAAATTATTTCAAATCAGAAAAGAATGAATTGTGTTGCTTTTATTTTTCTATTATGTTATTTCTCTACATGAACCAACTTGCTACTGTACCAGATATACTACCCAGTAGTAACTTACATTCCCATATCCAAACACTTTTGTCTCGACTACAAGTGGCCATCAAGTGACCACTGGCTGACCATGCCACTCGCTTCACTTCATTCTCATGTCCTTCCAAAGTGGCCATACACTCAAAGTCCCCCTGTCGCTTGTCCCATATACAGACTGTGGCATCAAAGCTGCAAGAAGCCAGGAAGTTACCACATGGTGACCAAGCAACTGACCGTATCGTCCGCTGGTGACCGTCCTGAAGTACTGTTTTACACACCCATTTGTCTCCTACAGAACAAAAGTAACCAATTTTTCATGGGAAAAAGTAAAAATTTGTCTTAATTACAAAAGCCATTGTGAGGTTAAATCTAAGAAATAAAGCTTTGACAATTTTCCTCTGGACTTCATATTTTACATTGATGCTTTTTCACTGATGTACGTAAATGAGAATGATAGGCAAAGTATAAGTGAACATTAAAAAAATATCACACACAAATATATGGCGTGTATAAAACGATCCAAATATAGACTATGAGATTTAACGTTACATGTCACTACTCGTAGTACTCAGAAATACATGTACATGTACATTGTACACACACACTGTAACATTAGATTATAGGAAATGTGTCATTTTGAACACAATAAAATTCAATTAAACACAGAACTTTAACGAACCTTCCTTGCCCCATATGCGCACTGCTTTATCACCTCCACATGATGCCAGTAAGGTACCCGTAGGGTTCCATGCTACGTTCCAGGCGCGGTCTAAATGTCCCTGTAGAGTGCAAACAAGATTTAGCATGGCTTCAGTCATGCTTATCTTGTCTACCGGAAATAGTAATAGAGCGACACCTTTTGGTCAATATTGTAAGCGGAGTGATATTTATAAATAATTATGTCCTTACAAGTGAAGAATCATTCCAAAATTTATTACATATTTATGTAATAATATAGATTTATGTACATTTGAAGAGCAATGTTTTGAAAACAACCAAATTTTGGAAAATACTACCAATTGCTCTTTTTGTTTGCGGATGGATACTGTAAACAGTGACGTGATACGGCGTATCCATGAGATTCTAAACAGTATGGAGGACAAGTGTCACTGAAATTTATTGCAGGTTATTGGAGATATTAAGGTTAGTACTTAATCTTGTTTTTTGCACACGTTATAATGCAGCTTACATTTGTTTTTGTTGTTGTATTCCTTTTTTTACGTAAACAGACTTTTTGTTATTCTTGTTAATAAAATGGTATGGCGGTCATTGTAAAAAATCTCCAGCAAGTTTTTATTTTGCACTTACAGATAGCCAAAATGTCTCGAGCACAAGCAGAAAGTGTCATAAAAAACATCATCAGAGAGATAGCACATGAATGTGCCAGCAAAGGACAAGCTGTTTCTGAGACTCTGGTAGCGTTTATGGTAAGTTGAACAGTGTAAAGTCAAGTGTTTTCGTACCTGTATAGCATGTACTCAGTATGTGTACTGGTAAAAACTCAATACATACACGTACAACCAACCTATATTTATATGGGAATAAATAATGCTGTTTATAAGTATTGATTTATTTTTGTGTGTGTGTGATAAACATTTCTTGGAACCGATAACTACCTTTAATTTTGTTCACCAAAACTTGGCAAGAAGAATATTTTAGGATATTTTCAATTTCAACTCGATTTATCATTTGGTTCTCTTCAGGTGAAGGCTGTTGTACTGGATCCAACCAATGAGTTCAATGTGGACAGAACTTTAACTAAAGACGATGTTCAAAAGCTGATTAAGGTATTCAAAATATATATATATATATATTTTTTTTTTTTTTAATTTGATCAGCTACGTTTGTAAAATTTTAACTAATGGGATATATCCAGGAAATATATTATCGCAATGTGTTGTTGTTTGGATACTTTCTTAAGTGAAGAAAGTAAACCTTAGTTTATTCTCTATTTAAACTTATTATGAAAAAATGATATTGAAGGAATGATTACCTGAAATGATTAAATGTTTAATATAGTTATGCCATTTTTTTCCCCACACTTTCAGCTATGCGTGGACAGGCTGCTGGATGGCAGGTCCCCATCCTTGGATACTGTCAAGATGCAGGTCTATTTTGACATGAACTACACCACCAGAGGTGAGACATAGTGTTCTGCTAATAGTGTTTTACTATTACTACTATTTCCTATTACACCGTCAGGCATCTAGGGCATCAACAAAGGTCCTCCACTTCTCTCTGTCTCTAGCTAGTTGTTGGATTGTCCCCCAGCTTTTGCCCAGTTGTTTTAGCTCTGCTTCCACAGTCCTCCTCCATGTGGTCTTGGGTGTGCCTCTTTTTCTATGCCCTTCTGGTGTCCAGTACATGGCTACTTAAGTGGTGGAATTTGGGTCTTTTCTCAGCACATGGCCAATCCATTTCCATCTTCTTGTCCTGCTGACTTTGCTTATGTTTCTCTGGTTGGTTTGCTTTAACAGGTCTTCATTTGATATAGTCCTTGGCCAGAATATTTTTAAGATTTTTCTGAGGCTTGAGATGTGAAAGGTAGATAGCTTCCTGAGATCTTCTTCAGTTATGCACCAGCATTCTGAACCAAAGAGAAGAGTTGATAATACACAGCTGAAATGACCTTGGCTCCTCCTTGATAACTATATTATATTGCTTCAGGTGTGCAAGTTAACATTTTTGGTCAAAGTGCAGAAGTGTGTTTCAAAAATTGTTTTCCTAACTAGTTTTGTTAGTAATATTTTTCAGCTATTAAGGAAACTTTTCAAAATTTGCAAAAGTTTCTTTCAAATAATTGTCAACCTAAACATCTATATAGCCATTTGATTTTAAAACAATCAAGGAAACTTCTGAGCAAATTACAGACATTTCTGTTGAAACATTTTCAATACATATCTACAATCTATTTGATTTCAGCTGACTTTTTGGATGAACACAGAAGAGTTCTGGAGTCCAGACTTCAGCCTGTGATACGTGAGATCACAGACAGTCGTGCCAGGACCAGAGAAGAGCTAGAATCTCTGTACAGGAAGATTGTGTCAGCAGTTCTACTCAGGTCTGGCCTGGGTAGCCCCACAGATATTGCAGTAGTCAGAGAGGCGACAGGTTGGTTATAACTTAATTATTGTGTATAATTTTTGCATTTGAAAATCATTTTCTTGAATTTCTTTAGTACTTTGAACACATGCAAGAACACAATACTACTTAATTATGTGCACATGGTGCATAATAAGATAATGTAATTACCAGGGTTCTTTTCCCCTTGGCATTAGAAAAAAATTAAATTTATTGCAAATAAGGATTTGTAATCAAAAGTAAAGGATAAGTATAAACTTTTTGTTATGTGTGAATAACAGTCTTTTTTGACCACAGGTGATTGTCTTCTATTTCAGCTGCACTGCAGAGTGTGTTCCCACAGACTGAGCTGGGCACTTTCATGTCCCTCACCAAGAGAGATAAAGAGAGGCAACTTCAGGAGTTGACCATGATAGTAACTGGTATAAGGCTGTTTAACAAGGAGTGCGGCAAGGGAGGAGAGGGCATTGACGATTGTGAGTGTGCTTGGCACAGCTTTTGTAAAATTAACTTATGTTGCTGTACATTTTTATAAGAGTAATTAAATAAACGATCTTTTAAATGTGCAAAACAGCATTTTCTAGAATCATTGCCTTGGTGCAAATAAGTCACTGTAAATAAAAGAAAAGTAAAGCTTGTCAAGAATTTAGAAAGCCTGTGTTTTATTTGATTGTTTTCAAGTTTGTACATAACCAGTAAACCTGTTTTTTCAGTGCCTGCTATTTTGAATGAAGCCATTCCAGCCACTACACAGAATGTGGATGCTGAGATACAGCAAACTGCAGTCACTGCTTTCAAATACACAGGTAAGCATCAAGACAATTTTTCTTATGATTATTATTATAAGTAGTAGTAATAGTAGTTGTACTTAAAGTAACTATTTGGGAATATTATACTCAATGGTTTGTAATAGATCATCCTATTTTGCTTAGATTTAGAAATTAGAAATGTGTTAAGGTGTCAGATAGAAGTCATTGCAGTTGCTGTGCTCTTAAACATGATTGCATTTTCTTCCAAAGATATGCAGTTAAATTAATTTATATTTATGTTTTAAGTCAGTCTTTTAATTTTCAAGAAAATTTAAAAGGTGTTTTATATTACAAAAACTTCATCATTATTTATTTTAGGCCTGATTGAGAAACTTCAGAGTGGTGAGAATAGAGAAGGGCTCTCACTGCAACTACTGAAGGAAGCCCTGATTAACAGCAGGCAACATGAAGCTTTCCTGAGGGTCATCCTTGTAAGATATTGCAAAAAAAAGTTACTATATTTTTGAGAGATAATGATCTTCAGTGGTGTAGCTTTGGTGAAGAATTATGAAGTCACAACTAATTATGACAGGGGAATTTAATATGCCTGGTAAAAAAAAGAAAAAGAGAGAAAAAAGTTGAATTTTTATGGCCTGGAAGCTATTGGCAATTTGCAGTCATCCATGTCCTGCCATCTTTTTTATTAAGTGTTCAAGATTTTTATATTTAATATGCATGCTTTTTTCTTTGACCCAAAAACTATGAAACAAATTCATAAAATATTTCATTTAAGTTTGTACTAGCATTTAGGTTTTACAGTATGATTTCTTTCCTGAAAATTATTTATTTTTAAACTAGAGATCAAAAGGTCTATCACTCAGAGGACTTACTGATTTCATTCTCATATTTTGTTTTTGAAATGGTTTTAAATTAGACACAAATATCATGTATGTTTATATTTATATATATTAGAATTTTTTTTTAATCAGAAATCCAATTTAACAAACAAGCAATGTTTGACTTTTTTTCATTAGCATGATGTGATTGGTTGCGCTCAGCAAGTTGAGATGTTGGAGTCTCAGTTAGCAGGTCGTATGGAGCAGCTCCAGGCCACTGTCCAGTCCAAGACAGCAGTGCCCACAGCACAGGTCTATGTAAGTACTGGACACAAGAACTATTCCTACCCATTAACTGTTCAATTTTTTTTCTGTGGTATTTTTAAAAATATAATTTACTATTTAGTCAAATATTTTTAAATGATTCAAGTTGCTGTCCTGTTGATGACAGTGATGGTATTTATTTGGTAGGTTTGGTACATATACAGGTTTATATATAACTCCCTCAAGCCAGTGTATTCTTACCCATAGAAAGAAAAATCACTTTTAATTATTATGTTGGTGGGGATAAATGATAATGATAAATAATCTGATGGTTTATGCAGAGAAAATTAGTATAAAAAAATTATATTGCTTCAGAATTATCTCTGCTATTTCTATATCAAAGTAAGAACAGTGCCATGGGAATATTGTAGAAAGCAAAGTGTGAATCATAAAGTTTAGTGAAATAACAGTTTAGACACCTAAAAAAGCCACACTCCCCAAGCACTTAAGAAGTATTTTATTGCATTATCCTAGGTTGGCTGTTAGCCACAAAGTCTGTCAAAAACACCTTTGAAAAGCTTAACCTTTTAAAAACCTTTGTTCATGGAAGTAATCGCCTGTAAATTCTAGTGCTTGTTGGTTCCATTTTGCTTTATCCTCTAGTTGAAAAAAATAGTATAGAAACAAATGTCACCCATCCTGTTCAAACTTTTTAACCACTGGCACATGGGATAGACAATCCAAAAGAAAATCCAATTTCCGGACATTTTCATGAAACATTAATCGAGGGTGTGGGATTTCTTGGCAACCCCTGAGAATTAGAAAGAACACATACATGAGATTAATTTCAGCTTTTGAAAAAACTAGTCTACTGTTGGACAGTATATGGACTTGTTTAAGTCATCGATTTATGCAGCCTGTTTTAGGCACCAGTTTTCCAAAATGTAAAATAAGTTAGGCTGTCAATTTTTCGTGTAGAATAATGTGTACTTTATTCAATTTCACAGACCAGTTAATGGAAATAGTATGTTACTACAAGTATTACAATGTTTATTTAGTAATATACAAAAAAAATCTCTCAATATTTCTATTGCAGCTTGAAGCATTAGACATCTGTAAAAAAAGATGCTATGTGTTTTTTATTGTGTTATATTAAAATGACATGTTTTCAAAATTATTTTAAAAAATTTTTGATAATGATATAGTTAACTAAAATATTTCAAACTAAAAAATATTTAAGTGAGAGACCGGTTTCCTTGTGGCATCTCATAATTGCAGAATCTAGCTTTCCATTAAGAAAAAACAGAGTGCATGTGTAGCATAGTCTGTTAATTTTTTAAAAATATATATATGAACAAAATGCAACATAGGTTAGCTTGGTAAGCTATAATTCATAGCATTTGGAGAAAAATTAGTAACTACAATTTTCATTGATGTATAGATTTTCATTGCGTATTTTATTTTTAGTGCCCATCATTTTTAAGAGATTCAATAATTATATTTTCATTATCTAGTTTATCTAGCTAAGAGATTTGATATTTTTCTCATTTCTTCCAGCCCCAGTTTATCCACCTTGCTCAGCTGTGGAGTGGGTTTCAGGATGAGATGGTGTTACTAAGTGTCCTCAGTAACATTCTGGCTAGTCTGGAGCCTTTCACCAGGGTAGGTGAATAACTGGGTTTTGAGTCAAAAACGGCTGATTTATAATTTAAAAAAGCCATATCTTTAATAGACCCTAACAGAGGAGTCTCAATAGATGCATCTGTGAAGTTATTTTTAAAAAGCTTTGAAGATCTAAAAATGCATGACATTCCCAAACGCATTATCTTACAAAAGCATTTCAAAAATATTTTTTATTGTTTTTATATTTTTACTATTTGTTTATTGTGTATGTTTTGTTGATTATGTGCTATCCTTTATTGATGTAAAAACCATATATCTTAATGTGTTTATAAATTTTTTCTCAACTATTTACAGGGTCACCGTGAGCTGTTTACAGATGAAGTTTTGGCACCCTTCCTTGAGGGACTTACATTGAAATCTGATGAGCAAAGATTGCAAGAAGTAAGGACAATATTAGGATGTTTCTGTTTATGGTTTTATACACCAAAGTCGCATGTATTACATTTGGACCAAGATAAATTTCACACTGACAGACTTCAAAATCAAAACCATGCTGTTTTCACATTTATACATTAATGATTTACATAATTATTAAACATTTTTTAAAATAAATTTTAAAAAATTAACTTTCACTGTATTTCTCTCAGTTACTTCATATTATAACATTTTCTAAAAGATACATTTTTTTTATTGAAATGTTCTTTTGAATTAAATATTTTGGTTAAGCTAACACAAGCATACATTAACTGTGTAAAAAGTTTTAATTCAGCATGCTCTGTAAACTTTGAAATCATTTTATACAGGTAGCCCATAGAGTTACAGAAATACTTTTATTTATTTATTTTTTTCATTCCCTTACATATTTTTTTCTCCAATGCAAAAAACAATTGATGTAACTAAGCCAAGTGTGAATAGTTTATGGGTCAATCACAGAGTCATTTCACCTGGAAGCCATCTTATTACAGTGTATGTCTGTTACCACCCGTGGTCCATGCAAACCTCCCATCAGCCCTTCAGGCAGCAATAACACAGTGCGGAATCAAATAAGATAGGGTCATGTGATTTGTGGTAGATTGAGATAGCACAGGCAG